ATTGTTAAGTCAAAAATGTTTATTGGAATGGTTACTTTATTTTCGTTAGATGTCGCACAAATATTTAATTTAAATAATTTGTTGGATAATATTAAGTATTTGTCGTATGTCGTATGCAAGCTCGCTCGTGCCTAAATTAAATTCGTGACTAAAATGGCGTTTATCAAACTTGATACATAATAGTATATTAATGAGTGTATAGAAAAGTTTATAAACGAGATGCATACTATACTTTTTCTACGACAAATACTTATTATTATCTTAAAATGATTTAAATCAAAAATTTGTATAGAGCGCCATCTATGAAACAACAGGGGAAACTGTCAAATGTCACATTTTTACATTTTATAAACACAATTATAAAGGTTATAAATCGAAACGTATCTTGAAAATTAACAGTTTTTCACAGTGAAAGTAAAGGAATTGTTTTATGAGGACTTTACAGTAGAGTCCGTGCCCGAATTTAAGTTATAGTTTTCTGCCGGCGAAATTAAAAGGTCAGTAGAATGTTCATATAAACTTTTCAAATATTGGCGTTGAGAAACTACTTAATATTTTTGTATTTCTGTATTGAGATAATAAAATAATTTTCACATTTTGTATTATTTTACAAGAAAGGCACTTTATTTTAACGATTGTATGACATTTGACAACTGTCAACTAACTTAAAACTAACTTCAGCCCGTGACTAAAAACCTGTTGCTAACTTCAGCCCGTGACTAAAGCGCCGTAAAGCCACAACTTGTCAATGTGTATTTAAAAGGTTACTTAGTGTCATGGAAACATGTACGATAAAGGGCGTTTTAAAGGTGGGAGTAGAAAATATAATATTAAATACTAAAAAACAGCATTTATGCTTTGATTATTAAACATTACATTATCAAAAATGTTTATCTGTAAAGTTGGGTTGGTTTGAAAATTTGGTTAACTAACTTGAATCAAGTTCTACTAAATGTAAACTCAAGGATTTCCTAGATAAATCCTTTAGATTTTGAGTCTGCAATTTGTCTAGACTGTAGATAAACCAATTTGTATGCTTGGCTTCATATGAATTTCAATTGCAGATCTAAATACAAGATATTTACAAAGCGGAAAATTGTTGTTAATTCACTTTACGACATTGGCTACTACGTTTGTCACAATACCTAATGAATAAACATATTATAAATTCCACACACTTTTGCAGAAAAAATGTCTTGCGATGTTTGAAGTATAGGTACTGGCAATATTTCTAGTCTTATGAGATCAAAGGAACTAACTCTTCAGTCGGTTAAAATTTTCTTGTAAGGGATATATTACGCCTACATGTAGGTATAGGCAGTTTATTTCAATGCGAAATTTATCGACTAGCATGGCCATTTACTATTCAAATACATGAGAATAGCCTCCTCGATAAACATAAATAACCGCGCGAAACGTCATTTAAACATGTCTTCAAAATACTTGAAATTTATTAGACATAAGCTGTATATGTACGACATTTCGTAAAAAATCGACAAAGCGAAATCGATAGCCAGGACCGTGCGCAGGGTTTGCTCCTAGGAGGGGTTATCAAATTTCATAAAAAAATATGTATTTTTGGGTTATTCTTTAGTATTTCAATTAAAATATTTTATAATAAAAAAATAATATATATACAGTGTACTATACCAGTTTTTGAGAGTAAATTTTTTAAGAATTCATATTAGCGATTTTTTTTAAATCTATGCACTGCACTGGATTCACCACCCTTTCTCTATTTTTTGTTTCATTGTTATTTTAAGTAATTTATTTGCATTTTTAATTTAGCTACAAAATCTTGCCTACTTAAAATTTGTCAATAAAATTTAATATAGGGTAGATTGGAGGAGTGGTGAATCCAGTGCAGTGCATAGATTTTAAAAATCCCTAATATCAATTCTTATAAAATTTAAATAGTTATGATTGTGTTCAATTTTAATTTCCTAACAAAATCGTTCCTACTTAAAAATTTTAATAAAATCAAGTATAGGATCGTAAGGGTGGTAAATCCAGTGCCGTGCATAGATTTTTTTATCGCTAATATGCAAGTTTCATGAATTCTTAAAAATTTACTCTCAAAAACTGACATGGTAGGCATTGTGTTTTGTAAAAGTATGGTGTTTTTGCTCAAAAATACAGTTTATCAAGATCTACACTTTAAAACAAATCCGGTTAAAATCGCACAATAAATAAATATTTTACAGGGGTGAGTCGCAAACAAATGGGTCACACTGTATAATTTTTTTATGTAAATCGATCTGAACAAATTTTTTTTATTTAAAAATGCTTTCTTAACGACAGAGCTGTTGGAATATATTCTTTTAAAATTGTTTTTTTAAATTTTAAAACCTTTTCGATACCTATATAAAATCAACTTTTGTATACAATTTTGAGTAATTTTATAAAGTTTTAGGATATGTTTTAATAGTTTTACACTTTTTTATTTTATAATCACAACAATTTAAAAGTTTTGCTGATTTTAAATATTTTTACAACAGTGTTAATATACACTGTGTCCACGGATAGACTTGACAAGGGGAGAAAAATCTTTATTATTAATTTTTCGACGTAAGGTCATTATTTACAAATAATTATGCTTGTCGAAAAATGGGGTTTCCATAAAAAAATTCAGTGTAAATAAATTAGGAAAAAATAAAAATACTTCAAGAAAAAAGTACATTTATTTATTTATTTCTTTGGACAAAATTTGTATTGAACAAAGTTGGTGATAATCTAAAATAAAGACAAAATTTAAAATAAAAATTCCATTTTTTTCACATGGTATAATTATGGTAATTTATTTACACCCTGTATATCTGATATAACTTTTTTATGGAGACCCAATTTTTTTAACAAGCAGATATTTTTATAAGGATTGACTTTTCACCGTAAAATTAATAATAAAGATTTTTCTTCTTTTGTCAAGTCCATCGGTGGACACAATGTGTGTTTTTTATTTTTTTTTAACAATACACAATGTTATATTAATTTTAAAAATATTTTTTTATGTAGAATATTACAATTTATTTTTAAAGATTAACTTTTATGAAATGAAAATTACATTTTCTACTAAATTAATTTTGTATGAATTTTGTAGGTAATACCTTTTATGTCCCGTTTTAATTTACCTTTAATTTAATGCCAAACTTTATATACTTATCGTAATAAATATTTTATCGTAATTATAAAGACGTAAAACTTTTTAATGACCCGAACCAAAAAATTAAGCAAACAATTTAATCGCCAATACAACATGTAAATTATATGGCAGATACACAATAATTATTCATAATTTTTAAATTAACTTTCTTTATAATGCCGCGGCAATTCATAAAACATGAAGGTGGTCCCGCTAAAATATGAATAGACCGTAAAATTTTATGCGATTTTTCTGTTCGCTTTTTGGCAAGTTTGCATTTCATTACAGGTGATGCGACCGAGAACGCGAAAGATACGTCAGATCAAAACAGAGCAATAATTCTTTTTAATTAACTCATTACAGCTCTTCGTTCGTATAATACGACGATTTTTTTTAGGGCAAGGACATTTTTGATTTATTGCGAAGGTTTTCGGCCATTTATTACATACCAGTAATTTTAATAGGAAATGTCAATTCCTTTTTAAATTAAACGTATAAGTGGTTCTCGGCAAAAACAAATATAGATAAGCTTTTTTACAAAGAAAATTACGTTTTTAAATGTGTTTTAAAAAGAATACTATTTTTAATAACTGTTAAGTTGGCCTGCTAAATCACCGGATTTGATGGTCTTAGATTTTTTCTGGAAAGTCTAGAATGTAGTGTTTTGTCCCCAAATCCTTTTTGCTAAGAGAATTCATTAGAAATAAATATTACATGAAAATATTGAAGAAGTTAGATATGCCTTGAAAAACGTATGGCTGAAGTTATTTTTCAGTTAGTCATACAATCGTTAAAATAAAGTGCCCTTCTTGAAAATAATAATGTGAAAATTATTTTATCTTAATACAAAAATAAAATGTATTAAATAGTCTCTCAACGCCAATACCTATTTGAAACTTTATGCAAGTTTGTACCCTTTTGATTTTGCCGGCAGTAAAGTAAAGTAGATTTAACTGAATGCACCGTGAAGTGCCATTAAAAAATTCTCTTTACTTTCACTTCGAAAAACTGCTTCTATATCATCTTTTAAACGGTTTTTAGTCCATTTTTAAGGAATAAATTTCGATTTACACATACAAATTTGACATTTTGACTGGCGCGCCGGTAATACTGATTCCCAAGAAATTGTTACGCGAGTTAGTCTATTTTTTATAGATGTCGCTCTATACAAATATTTAATTAAAATCATTTATAGATGACTAAGTGACCTTTTAAATACACATTGAAAAGCTGTGGCTTTATGGTGCTTTAGTCACGGGCTGAAGTTAGCAACATTCGCTCGAAAGCTTGCTTGCAAGCACATGTGCCTAATTAAAATTCGTGACTAAAATAGCCTTTATCAAACTTGATACATAATAAACAATTTTTTTAAGTTAATTTAAATTTTATACTACGCAATTTAAATGAAATGTATAGTAAAATGTGTGATTATTTTCTTTACCTATATGGTGGCACGAATTTTAAATTTAAAACATTATTTTAAACTAAAATACGCTGTTTTAAAACATATAAAAACGTTTAAACTGTGAAATTGTTGGTTAAGTGGAACAAGGGTGGCTAGATTTTTTTCTTGCAATATCTACTCTATCTCTCTTATACTCTTATACGCATATACATAACTCCCTCTCACTTACTCCTCGTTCTTGCAATATTGTAATATTTCATATAATATCGTATATGGTATTTATAGTTTTTTCCTAAAATTAAATAAAAACAAAATAATCAAGGTTACCTTGTACTGACACCCATCTAAACAAATCAACATTTATTGTTTACAAATTTTGGTAAATTATTTATTATCTTGTTTATTCTTCATTTATATTCACAATTTTATTTTAATATTTTTTCATTTTATTTTCAGGCTTTTTTGGAAAGTTTATTTAAACTTTTTGACCAAGACAGAGACCAGTGCTTGGTGCAGGATGAATGGATTGAGTTTATAAAACAAAGATTGACGTAAGACAAATATACTGAAACAGTGAGTTAGGTACCTAAATTTAATAAATCTTTTATTTATAGCAATGAAAAACAGCATTATTTTGCCGAACAACTGGAAAGTGTGGCCTTTTGTTTATGTGGAAATGATCCAATTAGTTTAGAGAATTTTTACCAAATATTAAATGCTAAAGGAGTAAGAAATTAAAACAAAAAATGATTTGAATCTCTTTATACAACAAAATTTTTAGATTGTAGATAAACTATTTAGGTTAATAGATGAACAAAATTCAGGAACTATAACATCAGAACAAGTCATGGAGTTCTTATCCACAATAACAAATGCAAGGTAAGGCTCATTTTTAAATCTTGTTAATATTTTTTTATTTTTGTATTGTAACCAGTACCTCTGAAAAGTACCTAGTATCTAGTTACTTTTCTAAGATACTTTAAACAAAACTTAGTTACCTCTGGTAACTAGATACTTTGAGTTAAAAGTATCTTTAGTTACAGGATACTTCAAAAAGTATCTAAAATACTATCCCAAAGTATCTAAGATACTATATGAAAGTATCTAAGATACTTTTGAGTAGGTAACTAAGGTACTTTTAAGTAACTAAGTTACTTTTAAGTATGAATAAAAACTATAAAATTATGAAAATTCAAGTTGTAGGTTAGGTAATTACTTTGAATCATTCTGGAATTCCCCCAATTTTCTCTAAGAAAGTATCTAAGTTACTTTAAAAAGTTACTTGGGGGAGTTTCCGGATGAATTAAAAATAGCCAGATTAACACCTATACACAAGGAAGGGAGTAGAAAGGATCCAAATAACTATAGATTCATCTCAAATCTAACAGTTTTTAGCAAAATTTTTGAAACCATAATCCACAACAGACTATCAGCTCATGCTCAAAACGTAAAATTGCTATCCCAATCCCAACATGGATTTCAGTCAAAAAAAAAGCACAACCACAGCGATGTTACATTTGTTACATTATATACGGAGAAAACTAGATGAGGGAAAGACAATAACTGGGCTAATAATGGACTATCGAAAAGCATTCGACACTGTAGACATAGACATACTCATAGAAAAACTTAAACATATAGGAGTGGAAAATAAAGAGCTAAAACTTTTTACAAATTACTTAAAAGACAGAAAACAACACACAACCAATGGTGAAAGTACAAGTACAAATCTAAAAGTACTTTGTGGAGTACCACAAGGGTCAATACTGGGGCCTTTTCTTTACCTCATATATATAAACGACCTAACCTTGCATAAATTAAATGGGAAACACATGATCTATGCTGATGACTTAGCAATGTTCTATGAGGGAGAAGATCAAGAAGTACAAAACAAAATAACAGAAGACATAAAAACAATACAAAAATGGACAAACGCAAACAAACTGACAATTAATGAAAAGAAATGCTACCTCATACATATAGAAAATAGAGTGAAAGAACACAACATCAACCTTGAAATAAATGGAACTATATTAGATAAAGTGGAGGAAATCAAATACCTAGGACTAATACTGGACAAAAAACTCACATGGACAGCCCACATTAATAAATTAAAAAGGGAAATTTCGTCAAAAATAAACATGGCATATAGAGTCAAAGATTACATAACAGTAAAACATAAAAAAATGCTATACGACGCATATGTGCAAAGCAATTTAACATATATGATACCTTTTTGGGGAACAGCTAATAAAAAAGAAATAAATAAATTAAAAAGAGCACAAAACAAAATCATTAAGGTCCTATATAATATTAAAAAAGATACAGCAACTAAAGAAGTATATAAAAGAACAAAGCATTTAAATATTAATGAATTACAACAACTGGAAACATCAAAAATAATACATAAGATCAACAAAAAAGAAATTGTGGACAGTGACATAAAATTAACCAAACAAAAAGAAATACATAAATACAATACTAGAAGCAGAGATAAAATAAGAATAGATAGAGCCAAAACAAAAAGTAGTCAAAAGCAACTGATGAATGAGGGAATAAAAAAATACAATGAGCTGCCGGCGAAATTAAAGGAACAAAACACCAAAGATTTCAAAAAAGCGATTAAAGAACATATAATTAATTTAAGATACTGAATAGGTTAAGTGTTATTTATTTATAGATTATTTATTTATATATATATACAAATACTTATATGTACATTTTTATATTTATTATCTGTTGTGGCCCATGAGGGCACATTGAGATGTATTTTTTCTAAATAAAAAATCTTAGTTACTTTACCGAGTAACTTAGATACTTTTTTAGATACAAGTTACAAGATACTTTTCCAAAGTAATTTAGTTAAAGATACTTTCTGTCCAATATAAAAAGTATCTAAGATAAAGTATCTTGGATACTTTAAGTATCTAAGTTACTTTTAAGTATCTTTTTTTTTCAAGATACTCCCAGCTCTGATTGTAACGATTTAAGACTCTTCTCCATTTTTTTAATTTCAATATTTTTTTTATATTTTTATACCCTATTAAATTCATCAAAGTTTGTTCCCACATTAATTTGGTAATCTTCTCTTTCACGCTGATTTTGTGATACACAACGTCCACTTAAAAACATAAAAACAAAAAAAACAGGACGCTAAGTACTACTACCATGGCGTGTAAGTTGGCCATAAATATTCTTTATCAAGTGCACGGAATATGATGACTTAAGTAAGTGACGATATAGTAAATTTAACGTGTTTTTTTATTTCTTACAGGCCACGTACCGGCTTCGACAAAGGCAGCTTAGAGAGGCTCGAGCAACTTTTCAGGCAGACTGTAGGAAATGAGAAGGAGATCAGAAGGGAGGATTTTAAGAAGATTGCCACCTCTAAAAATGTAAAATATTACACGATTTTTTATACTATTTTATCTACTCCTACATTGACGAGCTGGGACTGTGGGGTTTAATTCACGGTCTGAAGTTAGCAATAGTGGCTTTTGGGCATTTTAGTCACGGGCTGAAGTTAGCTTTATTATAAATTGCAAAAGTAAGGTTAAATTCGTCAAATGTCAAATATTTATGAAATAAAATTGGCTTTAAATTCCTATTTTTGTTTGTCGTAAATAAAGTATAGTATGCAACTCGTTTTTATTGAACACTCGCTCGCAAGCTTCGCTCGTGTCTAATAAAACTAAAATGGCGTTTATAAAACTTGATACATAATATACTTACCTACTACATAATATATAAAGTTTTATAAACGCCACTTTACTTCCGAGTTTTATTAATAAAAACAAGTGTCTAGAGAAGTTCATAAAACGAGTTGAATACTTTATCCACGACGAACAGAAATAAGAATTTTTTGCCAATTTTATTTCATAAATATTTAACATCTGAGAAATTTAACCTTTAATTTTTATTAATTTTTCCCAATTAATAATATAGCCAACTTCAGCCCGTGACTAAAATGCCCAAAAGCCTTTGTTGCTAACTTCAGCCCGTGACTAAAACGCCATAAAGTTAAAGCTCTTCAATGTAGGAGTAGATAAAATATTTTTTCTACTCCCACCTTTAAAACGCCCATTATCGTGCATGTTTCCATGACAATAAGTGAACTTTTAAATACACATTGACAATCTGTGGCTTTATGGCGCTTTAGTGAAGGGCTGAAGTTAGCAACAGGTTTTTAGTCATGCGCTGAAGTTAGTTTTAAGCTAGTTTGCAGTTGTCAAATTTCATACAATCGTTAAAATAAATTCGTTTATTGTAAAATAATACTAAATGTGAAAATTATTTTATAATCTCAATACAAAAGTATTAAATAGTTTCTTGACGCCAATATTTAGTTGGTTTTGAACGTTATATTTCGCCGTACACAGAAAAAACGCTAGCTAGCGTTTTTTCTGTGTACGGCTAGCATAGCATGAATGGGTGAGCCATTAAACCAATGAGATCTTGTAATCCGTATTCCTGAATAACAGTTCCTATAATACCAAAAGGTAGTTAGCACTTGGTTTATAATCGTTTACTGTTTTTAAATTAACAACAAAAGTTATCGCTGCTAAATCTATTGATATTCATATTGATATTTATTTGTTAGAATGGTAGAATGTTATTAGTATTATTGCATTAAATACTAATTTGATTTATTTAATAACGTTACTATTGTATGTATATTATGTATACATTTAACGCAATAAATTCTTTGACATTTAGGCAAAATATTTTCCTATTTTGGTTTAATAGTAATTAATTCAGCAAATAACAATTTAGATTGCTTCAATTTTAATGCATTCAATGCCAGCGCTGTTCTTGGTAATATGTTAGATTTTTTTCTGTGTAGTAGTGCAGTTAACTAGAGCTTTATTGTTATCAGTTAACTAGATTTAACTGATAAACCGTTAACAATTTTGGGTACCGTGCCCATTAAACATTCTCTTCTCTTTTACTGTGAAAAACTGCTTTTACATCGATTGTTAGTCTATTTTCAAGGGATAAATTTTCATTTACACGGAAAAATTTGAGATTTTAACGCCCGTAGATTCCCATGTTAGAAATTATAACTGGAATTCCAATAAATACAACTGTCACTTTTTGTACCTTTAACATTTCCCGTGTAAGAATTGTTAATACTTTGTGATAATATTTTGCAATTATAGTAATACAAAAAACAAAGGATAACATATTTTCTTAACAGAATGATAATTTGAAGTTATTTTAATATTTTAAAGTATCAATTATTGTTAAGATTAATTAAAATAATAACGGGCAATGTTAATGGTGAAAATTAAGTCAAAAATGTTTATTGGGATAGTTACTTTATTTCTCTATAGATGTCGCCTTATACTAATATTTAGTTTAAATAATTTTTTAGATAATATTTATAAATATTTGTCGTAGAAAAAGAATAGTATGCAACTCGTTTATAAACTTTTCTAGGCACTCATTTGATTAAGCACTCGCTCGCAAGCTCGCTCGTGCCTAAAGAGATTTAAAAGTTTTAATAAATCTTTAAGTTAAAAATATTCTATGTTTTTGTTTTAATATAATTTTATAACATTTTACAATGGTAGGTACCTACAAAGTTGTAGCTTTTTCATTTCATGTCAAATCCTATCTTAAATTTGTATGTTATATACTTTTATAGTAGTATTTGTTGTATGTAATTTTTTTAGTAAAAAATATATAAAAACATTTAATTTATGCCTTTTGAAGTAATTTAAAAAAAAAAAAGAAAAGTTACCTGAGATATTTAAACGACCCTATATGATCTATTTATTTATTTGTTATTTTAGGATTTATAATAAAAAACATATAATTTTTTCATACTGGAGTACTGTTTTTATAATATATTCTACTTTTCCAGCCATTTTTCACAGAAAGAGTCTTCCAAATATTTGATACAGATAACTCAGGATCCATTTCACTTCAGGAATTTTTAGATGCCATGCATCAGTTTGCTGGTCAGACTCCAGATGATAAAATTAGGTTTCTTTTTAAAGTATATGACATAGATGGTAAGTACAACTTTAATAGGAAATTTTTTTGACATTTCGTCATTAAATTTCTTTTAGGCGATGGCTTAATTCAACACAAAGAGCTCCAGCACGTGATGAGAGCATGCATGGAAGAAAACGGCATGCAATTTAGCGAGGAACAAATCGACGATTTAACAGTAGCCCTGTTTGAAGATGCCGACGTAAAAAACAGGGGCACTATAACGTACGAAGCCCTTAAAAGCCAACTCGAAAAACACGATGGTCTTCTGGAAAACCTCACAATAAGGTAATGAGAAACTTGTGAGTTGATTGCTTCATATTTCCATCTTGCATTGAAAACCATAATTTCATTGAATTGTTTTTTTAGTATCGATAGATGGTTGGTACCTCCAAAACCTAAAACACCTCCTGGGTCTGCTTCTCTATTTGGAAAACTAGCATCATTTTTTAGACCTTATCAACTAACGTTACCTTACGTGAAAAACAATTATGTGTATCTCATATTTTTAGCATTATTTGTTATTGTGAATGTAGCTTTATTCGTGTCCAGAGCTTACGAATACAGACGATCGAATTGGTTTACGATATTAGCTAGAGCATGTGGTAAGGAAAATTTCATTTTATTTGGAAGTAAAACAAACACGTTTTAATTTTTTCAGGTCAGTGTTTGAACTTCAATTGTGTGTTTATATTAGTGTTAATGTTAAGACAGTGCATCACGTTTTTGAGGACCAGAGGGTTTGGAGAGTATTTACCTTTGGATCAGCATATCTATTTTCACAAAATAACAGGGATTTTGATTTTTGGATTTAGCTTTCTACATACCATCATGCATATGCTAAATTTCAGTAAGACTATTATTTTATTTATTTGCGGCCACTTTTTCTATTTTAACAGGCAAAAAGATAGACATTCAAAACTACATAGACAAACAATACTAGACTAGGTAAATAAGACCATATAATATATTCATAATTAACATTTTTATTAAATATATTTCAAAAAAACGTCATATTTAAAGTTAAACTTACTTATGGGTTATTATACTTCTTAGCCCCATCTACCTCTAAAAAATAAATATTTTACATTTTTATATCCATTGTTACCTTTATTTAGATAAACGCTGAAAGAGTCTTTTATTTTTAAGTTTTAAAAGACTTGCGACGAAGGAGATATTTTTTAAAATAAAAAAATCAATTTTCCCAGTGACACAATAAATGCACATAAAACATTGCATTAATTAAAAATAAATAAATTGGTTTACTTTACATAAAAAAAAATTAAATACTGAACATACCGAGTAAATGCCAAAACACACGCTGCTTGTTTGTAACGCGCAAAATAATACTAACTATCTACATGGATTACAGACAGCGGTGGATTTACACTAGGGGCAGTCGGGGCTAGTGCCCAGGGCGGCAAATTTTCTAGGGCGGCAAAAATTGGAAAGTGAAAAAAAAAATTTTATTGTCATCAAAAATTCTCAATAGAAATTTTTTATTCTTTTAATTAAGCATATATTATTTAATAAATAATTCAAGAAATTCGACTCATACAATATTTGTCAAATCGAAATTTTGTAAATTATAATTTTGGCACCTTAAGTGAAAATTTATCTTCGAAATAATTTAATTAATTAATTTCTTTGGAGATTTGGAATGGTAATATTTGATTTTTTATTTTGCTGGAATCATAAAATTTAAATTTGGTTTTTTTTTGGAAAAATTAAAAATGTTATTGAGTTATTTTTGCATTTGTTAAAAAAATAAATTTTAATTAATTAATGAATTTCTTAAAAATTGAATAATTCGTCGATTAGGTATACTTATTAACTTGAATTTAAAGAAAATCTATTCAAATTTCAACTGTGCATACTGCCACCTGCAGTCTGTTTTACAAATATATCTAGTTTCTATCGGTATAGTCATTTTGACCATCAAATTTTGACGTTGACATGAATCTAACCTGCAAAAAATTTCATTAATGTTGAGCATAAAATTTATATAATATTTAATATACGATCAATTGTCAAACATGGCTGATGGATGCAAAAAATTTACTGGATCTGAGTTTCGAAAGCGCGCTTTGGATAAAAGTAAAAAGGAACAAGAGGTTTTGAGTAAAACTCCCAAACTAGATGATTTTGATTGTACGAATTTAGATCACGAAGGTTTGTCGAGACAATCTTTCTAAGTTTCATGATGTTATGATAAGGCGGCATTTTTTTCAGTGCCTAGGGCGGCAAAAGTTTAAATCCGGCCCTGTAATTTACAGAGTTATTTTTATATGTAATGCTAAACTCCAGTGTATTTTATAACAAAGCTGTTTTTATCTAGGCGGTTTGTGACGAAATGGACATTAAATATAAGGACAAGGTTTGGTCACGCTTAAAAAAAATATTCACAGACATTTTATCACATTCTTTATTAGTACTGAGGAGCTTCTTATTTGTTATTTCATTATAGTTTTAGAATTCTGTTTTATACAAAACCTATGAAATATTTCCAAGTTTTCACTATAGTGAATATATTTCAATATGATGGTGACATGGGGTGTGATGCTAACTTTCAACCTAAATTAAGACATTAATAGTATATTACACTACAAGGGCAGAAAGTGAGAGATTCCTGCACTGCGCGCCATAATGCCCGAGGCGAAGCCGAGGGCATCATGGCGCGCAGTTCAGGACTCTCACACTTTCTGCCCGTGTAGTGTATACTATTTTTCTTACTACCCTGCAGAAAATACGGGAAAAAATTAAATGTATATAAAAAAATTTGTGTCAAAATTAAAATCTGACGTTTAATTTAATGGCCGTTGCTAGTCGTCCGTATATTCGGACGATTAATATATTTTATTCATCCGATGATCGGACGATTAGACAAGTCGAAAGGCCGTTGCTAGTCGTCCGATCATCGGATGAATAAAATATATTAATCGTCCGTATATTCGGACGATTAATATATTTTATTCATCCGATGATCGGACGATTAGACAAGTCGAAAGGCCGTTGCTAGTCGTCCGTATAATCGGACGAATAAAATATATTAATCGTCCGGTAATAACATAAATAAATAATAAAAAGATTATCGGACTCAAACTCAACAACACAACCCAACCGACCCTGCCCCATTGCCCCCCCCCCCGCCCCATTGAACAAAAAACCCAACTAAAATGGGCAAATTTATGTTACGATAAAAATAAAACACTTTTTAACAAAGCAACAACAAATTTATGAAATAAAAAAAGTTCGACAACTTCTAGTAGATTTTATGTTACGATAAAACTAAAACAAACCAACCAACCCAACCCAACTGAACACTGTTTAACAAAGAAACAACAAATTTATGAAATAAAAAAATAAAAAAAATTTGACAGCTTCTTAGTATCGAACCCGGGACCTCTCGCATGACAAGCGAACGCCCTACCATATAAGCTATCTAGCTTGTTGTCAAATATTAAACGGTCGGTGAACAAAAGCGAATTATAATTATGACGTAACTAACGTTATGTTATTACCGGACGAATAATATATATTAGTCGTCCGTATGTTCGGACGATTAATATATTTTATTCATCCGATGATCGGACGATTAGACAAGTCGTAATTTAATTCTGACGTTTACATTCAAAATCAATCAAACTGTAGCGTTGTCATGGTAATTCAGCGGTGCCAATACAGTAAAAATAAAAGGTTGTATTTTAATTAACAAATTACTACTTTATAACAAATAAAAGTACCATTAAACACTTAAAACAACATAAAAAGTAAAAAAGTAAAAACATAAATTGTTTATTTGTTGTTATAATTGCAAAATTATGGTTTAAAACTGTCATATTTTTGTGTTTCTCATGTTGGCAGTACGAAATTTAAATGTTAAGCACGCGTCTAAAAAATTTTTACTCCCGCTATTAGAGTGTGCGCGTATAGCTTGACCAATGCAAGAAACGTAAACTTTCTGCCGTGAAATCGGGGACGAAACAACGTATTTTGAGTCGAGGTAGTAAGAAAAAATAATTTTAAAAATTTATTTGAAAAATGATCTATTAATTTTGGTTATTTTACATAAGTTCTTATTTATGAATCTAGTTTTATATTAGCTGTCTTAATTTATTATTTTTGTATTAAGAAATGTAAGGGACATCCGACAAATGGCAGAAAGCCTTAAATATTTAAGCTCAAAATTTAACTATTAACTTTTAGCTCTACTTGTCGTAAACGATCCAGTAATCAACGAAAGAAACTTCACTACAACTGAATGGATTCTAACAAATCGTCCAGGATTATTTGGACTAATAGGTGGCCTAGCAAATCCTACAGGTGTTGCCTTGTTTGTCATTCTTTTGATCATGTTCTTCTGTTCTCAAGCCTTTGTTAGACGAGGAGGATGTTTTGAAGTAAGACATTTTATTGTTTTTATATGTTTTATGAGCAATACCTTAAATATTTTTAATCCATTTCATCTTGTAGATATTCTACTGGACCCATCTTATGTACGTGCCATTCTGGGTGCTTCTCATTTTCCACGGTCCAAATTTTTGGAAATGGTTCATAATACCCGGTATTCTTTATTCCATCGAAAGGATTATCCGGTACGTTTGGATGCAAACAGACCATGGTAAAACTTATATCAGTTCCGGCCTACTTTTGCCCTCCAAAGTCACCCATTTGGTGATAAAAAGGCCCATACAATTCGATTTTCACGCTGGCGACTACATTTTTGTGAATATACCTGCCATTGCTAAATACGAATGGCATCCTTTTACATTGAGTAGCGCGCCCGAACAAGAAGGTAATTATAATTAAAAATATATAGCAATTTTCTTCTTACCTTACCAGGCCATTCACCATTTTTGGTATTTAACGGCTGAACGGATTTTGGTGAAATTTGGTCCAGTAGTTCACATATAAAATGGTGGACAAAATGTAAAAATTTTCAAAAATTCTCAATTCGTGATTTGTTTAGATTATATGTGGCTACACATAAGGGGCGTGGGCGAATGGACAAACAGACTATATGACTATTTCGAGAAAAAGCAAGAAAAACTTCACAACGGTGAAATAGCCCCACTAGGAGAACAAATAACGAAAAGATTATCGAGTGGAAGCATAAACAATAACAACCAAAACCCAATCAAGAAAATACAGTCAACCATCACAAGAACTTTATCGAAAAAAGAAAAAGCCAAACCTGGAATTCAACTCGTTGGTTTTGATCCCATCAACACTGACAATATGATGATGAGAAATGCTGTAACACCAGATAAACCAACGTGTAGCTCAACAGGTAGAACACATTTTTTTATTTTTTCTTAAAAAACTTATGTTTGCTTGTTTGTTGGTTTGTTTTAGAAACACCCATGTCTGTCCCAATGAAACTCTCAGCCGATAGAAATCTTCAAAAATTGCTGTTCTCGGATAAAGCTCCTCTAGAGAAGTCTCTATCAATGCCTGATATGCAAACTAAATTCAAAAAACGCGAAAGATTACTTGTGTAAGTTCATATACCTTTAAAGTGTCCACAAACCTATTATAAATAAATCTTTTTGATATATGTAGGTTAAGAGAATACATGAGATCAGAATCAGAAAAAACCTTTGATGAATGTCAGATAAGAAGAGCTCGATTGAAATCCTTAGGCTTGGCTTACTTAAGTCCACAAAATAAGAGCTTAGCACAAAGTTTCAGGTATATGAGAAATAAACCTACGATTATTGCTTTCCAAACGCCAAGTCTAGAACAATCAACAATGTCATTGGGTATGTTGAAACAATAAACGAAAAACTCCATGCGTTATTATAGTTTGCATTTTTAGGTCGCCAAATAAGTTCGTTGAGTTTTAAGTTGGTCGGCAACAGTCCTGAAAGACAAGCTGAGGAAGGTACGGTTAATGAAGTGTTTACCCCAACAACTCCACCAATTTTAACGAAAGCTGATGTGAATTACCCACTTGGAAATCCCCTTGAGGTAAGTTTCAATAGTTAGAATTTTGAGACAAGAAACAAATAATTTTTGTCTCTAACTTCTTAAAGGTATTATTTACAAGACAAATGGGTTTAAAATTGTTTTCCTAATTTTATGTTAGAATGAATATGGGTATGTTCTAAACTGCGAGGAAATCATATTGAAAAATATGCAACTAAATGGTGAAGGGACTGAGGTGATATAAATGTGCTTGTGTTTTTATACTAACTATAAAATGCTGCTAGTTGCAGCCTGCAACTAACCAATAAATGCTATTTACACGTCCTTGTTGATACGTCCCTATAGAGACGATAATTAAAAATTTAATTAAATAATTAAAAATTTTAAAACTTTTTAGTCATTTTTAAAATCGTCTATCGTATTTTTTGACTTTTCATAAACCAGATTAGCTAGCCCTATATGGTATACCATTGTTTGGTTAATGTAGAAACTCAGACGAAAAAACACATGTCGCAACATAAAGTGTCGGAAATTCCTTAATTTTATATATGCAATGAGTACGAGAAAGACGCATGTATAACAAATGTATTATGATTGATTGTGTAATTGCTTTTAGACACTGGCTACGGGATAAATAAAATCGGCCTGGGGAATGTTTTTTGCAATAGTTTCATGTACAAAAAACAAGCATTTTATAAAAATATTTCACCTAAACCCATACAGCACAAGATGTCCATTGGACGTCAAATGGACTTACATTGGACTTACATTGGACGTTTGGATGTACAATGGACGTCCACTGGACGTCCAATGGATATATGTGCTGTCTGGGAAGTGATTTATTACTTAATTTAAAAAAAAACATATTTTTAACCTTGCTTGTTAGGTATAAGCTTTATTTCAAACGTTAAGGTATTTTTTTGTCAAGTATTTTTCTTTGCAAATACTTTATTCAAGATTAGATCCTTCATCCTCTTGATCACTCATTAGACATCACGTATCATTTTTTTTGTTGACTTGTTCACATTAACACGAGCCCAGACAGCATCCAATTCAGAAAGATTTCTGTACGAAGTCTGTTGAAAAACATCTTACTGAGGTCACAATATGACGTCTTAGAGAAATCATTTTTAGGAGCTCAAGATTAAGAGTTCTTGATAAATTCATAAATGAGAAGTCAATTTTTTAACATCTTAAAGTATCTTTTTTTCTAACCTCTTATTGGAATCAAAATTAGAAGCTACTAAGGGTGGGTATCTTAAATAAGACTTCAGTTATATGATATCTTAGAGTATTCTCTTTTCTTACTTCTTACTGAAATCATATTATTAACTCTTTAAGACGTCAACATGGAGACGTCACATTTATGACATTTTAATGCGATTATTTTCTTCTCACCGCTGTGTTTGATATAAGAAGCGGCTAAGTAGAATTTAGAGCGTGCTCCAAACCAAACGGTAAACGGCTACCCGATACTGAAGAGCTCCAAAAGAGCGAAACAGGCCGTCTATCGGTGCCGGTGAAGAGCACGCTTGAATTTAAACAAAAGTGAGACAAAGTAATCGCAATTCCTAAAATAAGCGAATACGAGCAATTATTTAAAATGATTTTAATAAAATCAATTTAACAAATTAATAAAATTAATAAAAAAACTTGACATGTCAAAATAAGCAACGATCCAGTATGTAATTTTTTCATAGGTACTTCTATATCCAAAACGGGAAATTCTAAAGAAGTCTTTTTATAAGTTTATAAAGTAGGACTCTTTAAAATGCTTAATTGCGAAGTCAAAGAAAAGGGTTCCTCAAGAGTTATTTTTTAAGAAGTCTTGATTAGTTCAATAGGTGGCGCATTCGAAGTCTTAAGAAATTCTTAAAAACTTCTTTTTGATGTATTTGACGTATAAATCATAAAATAGAGCTTATGCAGACTTAATTCAGACGTCATATTGCTGTCTGACTTTAAATAACTCCAAAGAAAGAAGTCCAAAAAGGAAACATTAGGTATCGCGAGCAGAATATCTATTGTTGCTCGCCAGATTAGACTACTCCAAACTTCTTTCTTTGGAATTATTTGTTTAGGTATAAGTTTCCCCTTCATGTGAACAAGCCACCGACCTTGGAAGTTTAAAAAAAAACATTAAAGAAGAAATGGCAATGTCATGCAATGCCCTTAAGAAAAGTGCAACTTTGGCGGAGGCACTTGGCCGATATTATTTTCTTGATTTAACAGCAAAAAAATGTCCAAATAAACATTATTCATAACAAAAAAAGGAAGTTGGGTGATGGCTTTTGCGCTACCTTGTATCTTGTATAAAAAGGCACCTATTTACAGTTTTTGCTTATCACTGAAATTCTTTTAAACTAAAATATTATCGTTTTCTAGATATATATTGATGGGCCTTATGGAGCACCTTCAAGTCACATTTTTAGAGCTCAGCATGCAGTTTTAATAGGAACAGGTATCGGAGTGACACCTTTCGCTTCGATTCTACAATCTATCATGCACAGATATTGGAAAGCCCGTCACAGCTGCCCTAAATGCAAATTTTCCTGGGCTTCGGAAATACCTCCTACTGTAATGAACCTTAGAAAAGTAAGTAGAAGAATATCACAAAGTTGTGTAAAATGTACATTTTTTCTTTTTTAAGGTGGACTTTTTCTGGATAAACAGAGATCAAAGGTCGTTCGAGTGGTTCGTGAATTTACTTTCGCAACTCGAGATCGAGCAGGCGGAATTGGGAGGAGCTATGGAAAGATTTTTGGATATGCACATGTATATCACGTCGGCCTTGCAGAAAACAGATATGAAGGCTGTTGGGCTACAGCTGGCCTTGGACTTATTACACGAAAAGGTAAGAAGCCACCATGAGCAACCACAAACAACTTTGACGAAATCAAAATAATATTTATACAGGGTGAGTCAGAAGTATGTGCATTAATTTAAGAAGGTGATTCTACAGATTATTTTGAGTCGTTTGCCTTATTGCCTTATCCAAAAGTTATTAGTTTTGGAGTTATTTAATTTTTTGTGATTTTGGTAAAAAATCGTGTCCAGGTTTACATTTTTAAGTTAATTAAACGATTATTTTTTTAGTAGTTAGCCCATACATTGGTACATGCCACATAGTAATAGTTTTTTCAAAAAAGCCATATGGAACTTCAGAACAACAGTATAAAATAAAATTTTATTCGCGAATTTGGAAGACTTGTTAAGTTCATCAGGATTTTTTTTTTAATTACACTATACACCTTGCGTTCAAATTGTTTAAAAAACTTTCTTAATGTATTACCTTTCGAATGATGTATAATATGTCCATAAAAACTATTATTTTTGGATAGAAAATGTCACCTTTGTAAGGCACATACAGGTTTTAGTTCACCCTAGGATTAACAGTTCCAGGTCTTGATGTATTATTTGTATTATTAAAGGTAAAATTTAACTAATATGGAAGCAAATTAAAAAAAAATTTACCTGGAATAATAATAATTATTATTAGGTATTAACTATTCTTGAGGTATCAGGAATTGTGTATTTAAATTATTGCGAAATAAAGGTTTAATTCATATTAATTCAACATGCTAAACTTTTTAAATGCTGAATACGCTGATATTATGTTTGTATATGGATTTTGTAATGTAAGGTTCCCACAAAAACGCGTTCCTAATGAAAGAGTATTCAGTACAACATATCGTCGTATAGCTGAAACCGGCACTGTTATACCAAGACCACGCATTGGAGCTCCTGAAGTTAATGTAAATGTTGATGAAGACATTCTAGAAAGATTTGAAGAAGATCCAACTACCAGCACAAGAAAAGTAGCTTCTGAGTTGGGTTTAACACAAAGCAAGGTTGCTCGTGTAATGAAACGTTCAGGCCAGCATGCATTTCATTATACACCTGTCCAGGGTCTAGAGGAAGATGATCCCCAACGAAGAGTCAGCTTTTGCAGATATTTATTAAATGCAGATATTGATAATCCCAGGTTCTTGTCTAGAATTTTGTGGACTGATGAGTCTAAATTTAGTAGAGAAGGTATTACTAACTTTCACATTACACTTCTGGGCACAGAATAATCCACATAAGAAAAGAATAACTAGTTTTCAAAAAAAATTTTGTGTGGATGGGTGTAATTGGCAGTACATTGATCGGTCCTCACTTTTTGCCAGATAATTTGAATGGTGAAGCTTATGGGGAATTTTTGAATAACGTATTGCCAGAATTAATGGATGATGTTCCATTAGCAAATAGGATTGAAATGTCCAACACGATGGATGCCCAGCCCATTATAGCATCAATCAATCTACTAAAAAAAAGAATAGTTTAATTAACTTTAATTCTTATCGAGAAATTTAAAAAAATGTAATCCTGGACACGATTTTTTACCAAAATCACAAAAAATCAAATAACTCCAAAACTAATAACTTTTGGATAAGGCAATATGGGGTTCAAACGACTCAAAATAATCTGTAGAATCACCTCCTTAAATTAATGCACCTACTTCTGAGTCACCCTGAATAATTAATCCCGGTGCTTTCGCCATTTTTGATGATCATTATTTTAACAATTTATTCTTAATGATTTTTATAATTTATTTAAGGAAAAACGGGATCTTATCACCGGTCTAAAAACAAGAACAAACGCTGGAAGGCCCAACTGGGACAAAGTGTTCAAACAAATCCTAGATCAGAAGAAAGGTAAGGTAACCGTATTTTACTGCGGTCCTCCAGAGTTGGGCAGAATGTTGCGCGTAAAATGTGATCAATTTGGGTTTATATTCCGTAAAGAAACCTTCTAGTTTAAAGTTTTGTATAGTTTTATGTGTAGTTTGTATAGTATTTATTAAATGTTATGTGAGTAGTTTGTATTATATTTTAACATATTTTTTCTATTTTTGTATATATATTTATTGTGTGTATTCAGTTTTTTAGATCTATTTTGGTTGTGGTTTTTATCATACTAGACAAAAGTCTTAATGTTTATAGTTAGTGCTTTATATTGTATAGTATTTTATTTCAATAAACAATACGTATTTTAAAATAACCTTTTTATTTATACTACTAAAAAATAAATATCTGTACATATACATCTATATTTCTGTACAATTATCCTCTTCTTCTGGATCGTATGCATTGTTTTCAAATCCTCTAAAATCGACTTCATCCAGCAAATCATCTAAAATATAATTTGTGGGGTAAAATTTGTTGTTATTTAAATATAAATTATTATAATTATTATAATAGCTATTAAGAAGAAAGTTCAAATCAATATTGTGGCGATAAAATCAACAAAACAAATATACGCTAAAGAAGCATTGGGTTTTCGCAACGCGCGCGGTTGTGATCGATAGCATTGTTGACAATTCAAGAAATGTCAGCAATACATTTAAACATAAAAACTTTTAATAAATAAGTAGTTTTTTTCAATTGCACAGCTAAATCGCTTATGTTATTTTTATTTCGCGTTACAAGTAAAAACTAAAAAACTTTGGTTTAATACTCGATGTCGATATTATTCCTTATATAATTGATTAAGAAACGCTTATATGCTTATATAGTTACGTTAGTGTGTGTATTTTATTTAAGTGATCATGGTCAATTATTGGGTTTTTAATTGTAAATAAAATTCAATAACTAAATCGTTGCATTTTCATGTTCAAGGATCCAAATTGGAACATATATTTGTTGTTGCAGAATTAACTAATAAAAACTTTACCTAATATAATTTATATTTAATTTTGAACATTTTTAATGCCGGTTTTCCACCAAACGGACAAAACACAAACTCGTGTCGAATAAAACAAAACTGCAACTTTTTGAAAACTTTTTAAAGACTGGCGTGTTTTGCGACAGTTTGAGTTTTGTTTTTCGAGTACCGCTCGAAAGCGGTAACATCAAAAGGTTTCGACGTGTTTTGAAACTCGAGTCTGTTTAGTGGAAACGGTCGTGTTGTGTTTTTTGTTTTCGACTTTTATTTAATTTTGTTAGTCTCGATACGAATTTCATACTAAATTGGTAGGTAAGTAAGAAACATATTTTTTCCAAGTGTATAATAATATTCATATTATATTCCTCATAAGTCTATATAGAAATATTACAATTTAGTTACGAATAGATACGAATTTCATACTAAATTGGTAGGTAAGTAAGAAACATATTTTTTCCAAGTGTATAATAATATTCATATTATATTCCTCATAAGTCTATATAGAAATATTACAATTTAGTTACGAATAGATACGAATTTCATACTAAATTGGTAGGTAAGTAAGAAACATATTTTTTCCAAGTGTATAATAATATTCATATTATATTCCTCATAAGTCTATATAGAAATACTACAATTTAGTTACGAATAGATACGAATTTCATACTAAATTGGTAGGTAAGTAAGAAACATATTTTTTCCAAGTGTATAATAATATTTATATTCTATTCCTCATAAGTCTATATAGAAATACTACACTGAAAGAAATTTATGTTTCATATATGGACTACCACATACATTGCTAAAACAAACATATAATATATTTACCTTAACCATTTTTATATTTAGTTTTAACATATTATGTTAAAACTAAATATAATATATGTTTGTTTTAGCAATGTATGTGGTAGTCCATATATGAACCACAAACATTGCTAAAACAAACATATATTTCTTTCAGTGTACAATGTAGTTTTTTAAAATTTTGAAACCTCATTTTTAGGTTAGGTTTAACTGTCAGACGACAAAATGTCACCATTATTGTTCGGCGGTCAATAATTTAACTTTTGAACTAGTAGTCACTACATTATTGTACTACAATAATGGTGACATTTTGTCGTCTGACAGTTAAACCTAACCTAAAAATGAGGTTACAAAATTTCAAAAAAATATCGAAATTTAGAGCTTGAAAAAAAAATAGTATATAAAACATGTCGGCGAAAGCTTATTAATTACCTCGCACACAACCTACTGCCTCGGCAGTAAAATGTCATGGATAAGTTTAATAAATATATATATATATATATATATACGCGTAAAAGTACCAAGTGACACCAAAAACTACATTGACGTTCCCGCACCCAATATTTTTGGCGCTTAATGTGAATTAATGGCACCTTATATATTTTTTAAGTATATATGCGTTCTGACACTATACAGATATATAATACCTTTGTTTGAAAGTTAGTGTAAAATATTGCTCGCTTTAGGAAGTCCTTTGTCGAAATAATAAGTCAGATGTTTCGAATAAATTATTTATTGTCATCACATTTATTTTACTTTTCGTTTTAAATATTCTAAATTAAAAACTAACCTTGGAGAATACACAAACAGTCGTAACAATAATTTAAATAGAACTTATCAATAACATTAACAATAAATTTCGTTTTAGCAAAAATTTACAAGAAACGATCCGTTCGCTAACACTTCCAAAAACTTTCTGCCTGTTTTTTGCTTCCCTTTACTCTATTCGTGTACCTGGATCATCGTTTCTTGAATCATCTGGACGCCAGATTTTTAGGCAAAGTTCGAAAAACCTGTAATTCCTTTACCTAAGTGTCCCTTTTTACCACTTTTGCAAAACTTTTTGCCTTTAACAGGATAATTTAGAAATTTCAAATTTATTCTAAAATAAATTTGTAAAATATATAAAACTACGTTACTTTCCTTGAAAATAAATTTTTAAACCGTGTCTGTACGGAACAATTACAATATTTACATAAAGTTCGTTTTTGGGTGTACAAAACAAAAAATCCATTTTTACACATTTCATGTGATTGCTGTTTTTTCACGAATATAAATTGTGACAATAATAATTTTGGCATACCTGGTTTTTTAAATTTAATTTACACTATTATACAGGGCCTGCATAACCCCCTGTAATTTAAATGGAAAATGTATCGTCTTTGTGGCAAGGTTTAATATGAATATTAAGGGCTTATATGAGTCTGATAATTTTATAGGTCATAAACTAAAAATAAAATAAGTTGGTAAATAACGGACACCCTAATGTACAAGTATATTTCTTTACACAATTCTTAATTTTACACATTTCTAGCAAACCAGCGATTAAATTACGTAAAAATAAAACCATATAATCAATTCCTGAAATTAAAGCAAATTTGGCAGATTACAACAGAAAATAAAGATTTTTAAAAACCTGTTGCCTCAACAACAAATGTCAAAAAATACTTTAATATTTTCCCGGCAATATTGATAGATTATTCCTAATTTATTAATGTTTTGATTGGCTAAAACATAAATCCATTGGTTTTTAGAAAATGATAAAAAATAATCACACAAATATAATAGCTTTAGTCGTCTCGGCGAATGTTTTACATTGCGTCGTTAATTTGTAAAGCAAGCCAGAAAGACAGACATACATTACAATTTGCTGGTTTCTTTTTATACGTATGTGGGATGTATGCAGGACGTATGTCAAAAAAACAGGTTTTTGAAATTTTAAATTGATGACGTAATGTAAAGAATTCGCCGTGACGACTATACCTACTTTTCTTATTAGAATTAATGAAACGTGATAATTTAAAGTTTTGTTTGTGTTAAGAATACTTTTCTTAAAAATGTACCAATTAAAATTATGCAATAATATTGGTTGTTTGAAAAATCTAGATTAGAATAATTTGTTTGATATTAAAAACAGTTTGATTAGATATATATATATATACCTATAGGTATAAGTATACTTAAATTAAAAAAATCTGCCTGCTGTTAGGTATTAAGTATTAAGTATTTTTTTTATTATTAAATATAAACAAAAAAATACTTACGAAAATCTTCTAATGCTTTTTTAACTAACTTTTGTGACCTAGTCATAAAACGTGCAGCATCTTTAACCCTAGTTTCTGCAAATAATTGATTGTTTTCCTAATTAATTTAAAAAAGTTTAATTACTGAGTACTTACCACCACAAACTTTGTGTTTTTCATTCATTTTTATGTAATTTCACTTACTTCACTAGCCGTGAATAATAATAATAGTAAGGAGCGAAATGGTCACTACTAAATAGTAAATTAAATTAAATCTTAAATATCGGGAAACATCTAATATCTGGTCACCTGATTCTGGTGCCGCAAAGTATTATTGTATATATTCTATCATGGTGCCGCTACGTTCTATATTTTACTCACGTAGTTAGCGCCCTCTGTAGATTATATGGTTCAACTAAAATTGTACTTTTCTATATATATAGTCCAAGTGGCACCATCTGGAAATTTTGTAGGGATAATACTATGACACATTAGAGTTTATATATGAAATAAAACGTTCTGGCACCTTGAAATGGTGCCACAACGATTATATAGGTGCCACTTGGCCCATATATATCCGAATTTGGTGCCTTAACGCCTGTTTGTATATATATATATATATATATATATATATATGGGCCAAAAACATTGACTATTTTTTTTTGAAAAATTTATCGAGAATGTCATTCAGAATGACAAAAAAAAATTTGGTGAAAATTTAAGCCCTTAATATTAATATTAATTTTATTTAATTTTATTTTAGAGATCTATCATCGCTATTTTTGATTTTTAGTCATAATTTGATGTTTTAATTAATTTAATTCTTCAAAAGTTATTCACGAAAAAGTATAAACCAGCCACAACTAAGAATAAGAAAATCTTTTTCTCTAAACATGTTGGTTGATACTGAAAAAGTGGGTTCTGACATAATCACGACAACTAGTGGAAAAGGACCGAAAACAAAAACAAAACTCGAACAAAACTTAGTTTGCTTGATGGAAACAAGAGTTTCGGGTTTGTTTCAGTTTTGTTTTTGATTTGCAAGTTTTTAAAAACACAAACAAAACCCAAACTCAACTGTTCGTTTAGTGGAAAACCGGCATAAGAAATCAAAAAAAAAATAATTGTTGTACAAACATAACCTTAAAATCAAAAATGTTTATATATACGCCGTCAACTGCATTTTATACGACTAAATATATTTACGAATTCATAGCAACATAATATTATACAGGGTGTCCGGGAAAAGGAGGTCAATCCTTTAACCATATATTCCTCGAGTTAAAACAATAAGACTTTCATAATACCATTTTTCAATTTAGAGCTTCATGTTCGATATACAGGGCGACAAAGTTTGAAATTTAAAACTGATTTTTTTTAATAATTCGAGTAATTGATAAGATACTAAGTTCAAATTCGGTACACTACTTCAACATAAATAGTTACATTTTTTGAGACAAACAAAACAAAAAACAATTGTCAAATAATCAAAATAGGGGGGTCCAGTACTCACTGACTCCCCCTATTTTTTAGTACGTGCGCCAATGACTTCCAAACGGTATTTTTTCAGGTAATCATTTATTGTTAAAAAAACGTTGTCTCTTATAAAATTTTGATAAAATGATTTGTTTTAGAGATAATTTGTAAAGTATGGGTCAGTCCATATCAAATCAAGCAAAGGTTCTTCCCCCACCATCTCCGATTTTGATCATTTTTGGTAAATTTGTTTACCTCACTAAAAAACTCAAAAATCCCATATATGAATTTTTTTCGATAGGTGGTTTTTGTTTTATTGATTTTTGAAAATCAAAAAATTCCGATAAATTTGGGTCTTGCAAGTACTTACAAAAATAGCGATATCTCGTAAACTATTAAAAGTAGAAAGGTGAGTGATGGCTTATTTTAAAGGCCTATTAGAGAACTTTTTTATGATATATCACATGACCTACATTTTTTCAAAAAAAAATTAAATTTTGAAAATTTGATATGGACTGACCCATACTTTACAAATTATCTCTAAAACAAATCATTTTATCAAAATTTTATAAGAGACAAAACATTTTCAACAATAAATGATTACCTAAAAAAAATCCGTTTGGAAGTCATTGGCGCACGTACTAAAAAATGAGTAGTGAGTACTGGACCCCCCTATTTTGATTATTTGAAAATTGTTTTTTGTTTTGTTGGTCTCAAAAAATGTAACTATTTATGTAGAAGTAGTGTACCGAATTTAAACTTAGTATCTTATCAATTACTAGAATTATTAAAAAAAATCAGTTTTTAATTTCAAACTTTGTCGCCCTGTATATCGAACATGAAGCTCTAAATTGAAAAATGGTATTATGAAAGTCTTATTGTTTTAACTCAAGGAATATATGGTTAACGGATTAACCTCCTTTTCCAGGACACCCTGTATATAATACATAATATATATTATATATTATATAATACCGGTTCTTGCTATTATACCGTTGAGTGGAGACTTTCTTAATCAACGCTTTTAATTGGAAAACCGGTAAAAACTCAACCCAGGATTTTCTCTCGAAAAAAAAACACCCAACAACACAACAAATCGTGTCACGGTTTTGGCTTTATTCTCAAAAACACTTGTTTGTAACATATACACGTTTGACAGCTGGTTTTTGAAAGCTGAATTCTGGTTACGATGATAACGGGCACGTGGTAGCGCTGCTAGCGATGCTTCTTTAGCGTATTGGAAGAGAATTTTGGACCATTTAGACTTTTTTATTTTAAATGATTACTTTGGCCGACAAAAAAATCTGCAGGGTAGGTAACAAGTTTTTCAGGAACTTTTGGCACGCTGAATATGAACATGATATCACCCCCCCTATAATCGGAACCTTGGCTACGCCCCTGACCGCAAGTCTTAAAATTGGTATTTACAGTCATTTCAACCGATAGCTCGTTTGCGACTCCTTTAAATTTTGCGAACATGGTAATAATAAATTGTTTTTTATTAATCTAATATTTTTTAAACGTTTTTTATTTTTTTATTATAAGAATTTTTAGATTTAAATTATCCCAAAATAACATAAGAATACTTACTTTCTTGATAAAAATCGTACTCAAATAATTGAGGTGTTTCCTGTATAATATTAGGAGAGGAAAAAGAACTTTTTGTAATAGGATCTTCATTGGAAATATTGCCATCATAGTCTTTACTATGCCTTAAAAACAAAATACTCGTATGTTATTATCAATTGATATTTAAATAAATAAAAAATCGTACTTACATCCAGGACGCCATCTTTAAAATAACAACCCTGAACACAATCAATCCAATGCAAAATGTCACAACAAAAAATCCGACAGTCAAATACCAAATTAGATTGAGTTTGTACACATCAGGCTGCATGTAGATTGTAAATTTTTCCAAATATTCTGCAGCTAAACTCTGCCACATTATTTTGAGTTGATCGGATTTTAGTTGGTAGCCTTTGTATTTGGATAGTGCGGGATCTATGATGATTGGTACTGCAAAAGTTAGTTCTGCGCATTGCGTGGATCCACGCCAGATTTTCGGACACTCTGTTATTTTTTCGATCAATATGTTTTTATCTCTACAAAAATTTGATTTTTAGTAATCCCGACTCATCCTTTTGATCAATACGCTTAGAGCTAGTTTCCACAAAGTATTAAAGTACATGTATAGCTATAGCTATTAGGGTGTCCGTTATATACAGGGTGTCCCAGAATATGTGGGCAATTTCCCGAATTTAGATACAACGCAAAATAATATGACAAGTTCTTATATTTTTTTTCCTACGGCCCCCCTACGGAGATACCGGCCCATAACGGACGCCCCTGGAAAGAAAAAAAAGGATCGAAAATTTTAAAACTTGCTTGGCGTTATTTTAGCTTGCCGTCATTTAGGCTTATCATAATTTTAGCTTGTTATTAAAATTTTAGTTCATTTTAATCTGTTATCATTTTATTTTGTGATTATTTTGTTTTTGTTTATTTTATTTTGTGATCATTTGAACTATGTTAGCTTAATCAATTGTCGCTATTTTTTCTAGTAGCATTTTAAATGTATCTAATATTCAGGCTTTTTTAGAATTTAATGTAGTCTTTTTAACATGCAAATTTATAATTTTTCAGTTTAAATTTGGCGTTATAGTTATAAATTATAATTATTTACAAGAAACACAAAAAATTTACCGTCTGAGAATTTAAAAGCAATACGTATCATAAAAACATGTACTACTCGAACTAGTACTGCGCGTGTATTATAATCTCCATAGAAATAATAGTATAGTATAATAATATTATTAATACGAGTATTATTTCTGTGATTTTCTCTAACATCTTACGTTATATTTTCTAATAAAACAAAATCAGCCAAAGAACTGTATCTAATAGCCATTCTCATAAGACTAGTTTTCAAACTGCTTAGAACAGCAGCATCTTTGAAATCGTCCGGATTATTATTCAAATAAACTGTCAAAAGTCTGGACTCATTAGTGGGCGTAGGGAATGTTACGTCGGTGGTTGGTGCTTCTGTAGTGGTAGTTGGTGGTTCCCCTAAAAATATTTGTATAAGAGTTTAACGAAAGTGAATCATTGATGGTAATAATAGAAAAATTTTCCTATAAGTAGGGAAATAATTGTGTGGAAAAAATTGTGCGGAGAAAAAATTTAAGGAATTGTAAACGAAATAATAACTTCTAAATATCACACCCATGTGACATCATGTTTGATTAGTTTTTGGTTAATTTAATTACCTATTTTTAAATTAAAAAAAATTTTAATAGATAGATATTTTGAATCAAAATTTTTGATATTATTATACTTTTTTTATTTATAAAACATTTATTTTAATTATTTTTATTTTATACCTATGCAATTCAAAATAAAAATTACAAGCCTTAGGTATTTACTAAATATTATTTAGTTTTATTTTTTTTAGATGTTTTTAAATGATTGAAATACTCATTTACCTAACAGGTATTTTTTATTTAAATATATATAAGTATTTAATATATATCTGGTAACTGTGAGGGAAATTAAACCTATTGTTTTTTTGGCAGTCAATGTTGGAATTGCAATTCCCTACAGGTACGGAAAAGATTACCATCACTGCAGTGGTTTAATGTTTATTTAAGAAGAATACAAAGTAATTTAATAAGTACCTATACTATAATTATAGATTTATAATTATAATTTATAATTATAGATTAATCTATACTTAGGCATAAAAAACCCGACTTCAGCTGGCTTAATCTTGGAAGTTTAAAGTTAAAAATGTTTTTAATTTTTCTTACCCACTCTTTTAAATTTAACACTTAAATCTCCAAATTGTTTGTCAGTCCCTGTCCCTGGTTCAAGCATTGCCTTTGCTGTATTTGTGCTTATTATGAATGTATAGTTTTTTGGCACAGTATGAGTAAATGTTAATCCATCTGTGTGTATATTTTCTAGAAATTTATAAAAATAATTGTAAAAGATTACCAGCTGTTTTAATTAATTTAAATTTGGGATTATACAGGTTGTTTGTAAAAGGTCGTTTCTTCTTCCAAAATCTCCAACATGTGCTATCTAAACTGAAGCTTTTGTTGATACACTAACAGACCATGAATGGTCTGTTGGAAGTAGTTTCTGAACAACCATGGGGTGGAATATCAATTATTTGTTTGAAATTCTTTACGGACGGTGTCTTGCAGCAGATCATGGAAAGAATTTTTACAGACACCCTGTATATATATATACCTATAGGTAGGTATATTAAGTTTTACCTGATGTAATTTGCAAATATGCGCCCGTGTCTCCTGTTAAATTACATTTTAAAATATTAACTTCTATAGAATATCCCTCATCAGTTATAATATCTAAACTAGTATCATCAATTTTTGGGACCCATGTGTACCCTCCTTCAGTTATATTTACTTCTCTGCAATTTACTAATAATAAAAATATAAATGTTAAGAACCTTATCAACAAGAACATTCATAATTACCTGTTAAAATAAAAACAAAACAAAGCAAAATATAAATAAAAGTCATAGTGCACTAATTAACCTAGCCTTAAATCAAAAATATTTCCGATAATATTTATAATTATCTTGTAGGTAGATAATAAAATTAAAATATTATCAGATAAAATTTAATCCTGATGAATTTAAAATCTAGATCAATGTGCAATGGTTTGTATACAATACACATAACCGTTAACTGGGTTGCCTACATCTTGAATCGAGACGTCAACAAACAGAAATACCATCTGTCAACAAATTTGAATTTGTGAGGTTGTGTTACACATAATATAACTGGAAGGTGGTTATTTATTGTTGTAAATAATGAAATTTAGAGCTTTAATTACCGAACCAGCGGCCATGAAGGATTTTATGAGTAAGTATCAATAAAGAACGCAATCTTCATGAATTAACACTTAATTTAACAGATATCTCCGTAAGTCTGGCGAAATTTTCTAAAGATTGTGTTATGAGAATAACGACACGAAAGGTGTATTTTATAATATCTGAGGAAGAAATGGGCCCTAGAAAACCTCTGGTGTGGTGCGAATTGCCTGTGGGGTTTTATTTTAATGAATATAATGTGGTTGGTGTAAGTGATCAACATAATGAGATATACTTGGAACTTAGTACAAGTAAGGTTGTTATTTTGTTACTGTTCAGCGTTTATTGGCACTTTTTTGTAGCTTTGCTGTCCAGATCTTTATCAATATTAAAGCAAGATTGTAAGTCTTTAAAAATAAAGTTAACTAATAAAGATTCACCCTGTTTGACGTTGGATATGGAACTGGTAATTTTAAACATGTTTCATGTTGTTTTTTATTGCCTTTGTTTAGGTTTCAGGTGAGATAGCAAGTAGACAGTGTGTTCATGATATACCAGTTGAAGTAATAGGTAGAAAACATTGGTCTGAGTATGAGGAACCAAAATTTAATGATTTTCATGTAAGTTTTTAACAGATTTAAAATATTGTAAATATTTTATTCTATGATTAGGTGACAATAGAAATGCCAAGCTTAAAATCCATAAAAAACATAGTGGAAAGAATGAAAAACATGAGCCACTCTATTATAGTGAGTGCAAATAAAAATGGCAGACTATCTTTACAAATTGAAACCAACATTGTAACATTATCAGCTCACTTTCCCAATTTAAGTGTGGAAAGTTTTACAGGTAAGAACTTGCTAATATAATAAAATCCATAATTAGTTGCTAATAATTTTAGCTGGCCACACCATAACCCATAACATAAATGATCATGAAGATATAGAAGAACTCGTATGTTCAACAATAGATATCAAAAAATTTTTGATGTTTTTATCTGGGATGCAGGTTAATAATTGTAGGGCAGTTTGTAGCATAGTACATGAAAGAATGGTTAAATTACATATGGAACAACCAGGCGCAATGATACTCCAAATATTTTTAACTGAATTAACATTGTGAGTTAGTAGTATTAAGATTAAATTATTTTTATATTATCTATTGTGTTTAATTTAAGAGGGTTAATAATTTTATAACTATCTTAGAAGTTCATTTAAAGCTATATATATATATATATATTTTAAAATTTTAATTTAAACCTCAATATCTTATAATAACAGTCTTAAGAATGTTAACTATATAGTTATATAGTTACATATAGTTATAACTTGTGTCAACTGTTTTATGAGTCAACTCTGCCAAATAATGATGGAATGGGAAGGCTTTATAATAATAATAAAAAGGTTTACCTTGTAAAAAAAACAAATATAATTATTACACCAAGAATAATTACAAATGGTAGCCAGGTTTTAATAAACCCAAAAAAATTAACATACTTTCCCCTAAAAGCAAGCAAAAATGCCAACTTAACCATATTCCATCTCCCATTATCATACTCCATTAGCTCTAAAGCTGTAGCCACGTGAGAATGACAGTTGTCCATACACAAATTATGCATTCTTCCTTTATAAACCTCTGAAGCTTTTGTTATTGCCACATCCCACCCTTCAATTCCACCTTTTGCCAATGTAGGAGTCAATTGTAAGTATTTCGTGGGTCTTCCAAATGCCATGTTGTCCTCAGACACAAAATAGGGGCCAGCAAAATCACGAATTACCCCATTTGATAGAGCAATGCCCATATGACCAATTATAGGGAATAACCATGTTAAAAAAGGTATCGGCGTCCAGACAATGCAACATGGATATCGGTCTTTATCTCTATCGATACTTCCAAGTGGATAACCAGCCATTTTAACTCAAAAATTGATTTTAAATTGCAAAAATAAGTTAATTTGACACTTTTGACATCTTAAATACATAATTGAAGTTGGCGAACTTTGTTGGCGAATGAGTCTACCAACCTTAATAAAGTTGTATTTAGATGTCAATAAAAAAAAATGTTTTCGAGTACAAAGGGTTTTAAAACCTTGACAATTAATAAAGTAAAATAAGAAAAACTAAATGGTTAATTATTATTATTAATTAAAAGCCAAATTAACTCTAGAAACACTTAAGATAAATTTGGAACCAACAGTTGGTGCCACTTTTTGTTTGCAGCTTACTTCACAAAATTTAATAACCTAAAAATCGCGCTTTTCTCTTTTTGCGATACCTGTGTTTTCCCTATTATTATTACACGATGAGTAATAACGGCGATGAAACAATATTGAACATGGTGAAAAACTTTAAGCGTTTCAACAGAGTCCCTCTGTTTGCGACGCCTTTAAAACGCCAACACAGCGAAACCTCTGAAAGCAGTTTTGAGGAGGGTACGCCAATGAAAAGAATAAAAGAAAGCAGCAAACTCGACTTATCCTTCCCAGGGTCCCCGAGAGAAATACGTAGAATAAATGCGGATTTAATGGAGGCTAGAAATACGATAGTTAAGTTGGAGAGTTTGCTAGGGACTGCGAACAATATAAAAAAACAAATGCAGTTGCATTTTGACGAGCAGAATCATGAGTTGAAGTATCAGGTTGAGTATAACAGGAAAACAATTGAACAACTCGAGACTAGATTGAAGGAAACAAAGAAAAAGGAGATTGAAGCTAGAAACGAATTGGCTGAAGTAAGGAAAATGTTTACTGGGGTGTTTTATTGTTGTTTTATGAATGTTTTCAGGTAAAAAGTAAGCTGGGTATATTGAAAATAAGGTCGGATGAGAGGGTGGAATTTTTGGAAAAGGATCTTTTCAATATACAGGAGGGAAATAAACATAATGATAATTTAGAAAGTGCTGAAATTGGAAGTTTAAAAAGAAGAATAAATGAGTTAACAGTTCTTGCAGAATCTGCTGAGGCAGAGGCTGAAGCACAAAAAAAACTTGTAGCTGATTTAGGTATGCTTTTTATATATATTTAATAAATGTGTTCTTTATTTTTAATTTTTATGTAGACAAACGGATAACAGAAAAGGTAAATTTGGAAAAAGACCTAGAGTTAAAGGAACAAGCATTTCAAAAAGCAAAACTACGCATTAAAGAATTGGAATATGCAAAAGATAACTTTTTGGAGTTTCAAGAACAAGCCAAGGTAAAATAGGTATATTGCTTACAAAAAAAATTACTTTCAAATTTTTTGTTTAAGACTCAATCTCACAAACTAGCAAACTACATAGAAATGGAAAAAGAAAACGAAAAACTCAGAGAAGAAAATACAAGACTTAAAGATGAAGTTCGTAATAAATTGGTTATGGAGGAAGAGGTTTTTGACTTGAAAAACCGTTTAGCAAAATTCAAAGAAAATGAGAAAAAATTACAGGAAATTCAAACTCAGCAGGTGCAAAATGAAATGGCTTTGAATGAGTGGCGTGGAGTTGCAAGAAATATTTGTGAAACAACCGACTATGATTCAGCTCTTCCACATTTATTGAGAACAGCAGTGGAAAAAATGCAGCACCAAGAACTTAATTTGACAGCTGAGAAAGTGGAGATTGAGTGTAAATTAAAGGCTGCCATACATGTAAGTTTTTTTATTATTAAAAAAATATATAAAACAGTAAAACTACTGGCACAGCAATCTTAAGTTCATATGTCCTAATTTTTCATGGATTTTACTGCACGTTCTGAGCTCTTAACGCAATCAAGTGCCATGTGATCAAATGAGCTCAGTGTGAAATCTGAAACAAAAGCTTAATTGCGCATGCGTAGAATGTGCGCGCACAGTTATAATTGAGGTTAAAATTATTTTTTACTTGTGCACCCACAAGGTCAGTTAAAGTAGAGAAAAGTTGCGCTTAATTATAATCCTAATATTCCTGAGGTTTTCAAAATATTTAAAATAAACTAAAAACCTTTTAAAATTAAAAATCCGTATAACTTTCTTATTCCTGGGAATTTTGAAACAAAGTTTTACACATGTGTTAACATACCCATGATTCTACATTTTCATCCAATTTCTTTGCTACTGATTTGAGTTACTTATGTAGTATGAGATCCCTTGTTTACCATGTAAAATTCCAATATGGCGGTCAAAGGTAAAACAAAATATGGTGGTGGTATCTCAAAATCTAGACGGAGAAAAATGTATGTTAAAAAACGTATATTAAAATTTGTATAATAGAAAGTAAATTAAATTATTATATAAATTAAAAAACTGGATCTTATTAAGTATAATTATAATCGTCATATGATTGAAGTTATGATACGGCAGTAAAACTAGAACTATGCTATTATGTAATAAATATATTACATAATAGCATAGTTCTAGTTTTATATATTTTTATTGAAAAATAATATAAGTACCAATAAAATTCCGTGCTCTTTTGAATCGGTCCGAATTTGTAGTTGAGATAAAAATGTGAAATGGTTTAAATAATAATAATAAATAATAAAATAAACTTTATTGGATTACTCCAAAAGGCTAATGACCTTAGTCTTTCTGCCTATTTACAATAAATATTCAGGTTTAAATATTTTTATTATTTATTGTGAAATTTTGCCGCCCCCTAAAAAGTGCCGCCCGGGGCGGGACGCCCCTGCCGCCCCCACTACGCTACGCCACTGTGATATGGTTGATTAAGTAGTATTATATCATTTATTAATCTTACACTTTTAACTTAATATTTAATACCAATAAAGGAATATGTTAAAGCGTTTTAATATAAAATATTATTATATTTTTATATTAAAATTTATCATACGTATATATTTAACGTAAAATATAATCAAAAGTATTATATTTCTAATATCATTTATTATATTTTTTTCTCCGTGTAGCAGGCAAAAAAAATACGAATTGGATGAAAATGTAGCTAAATGTCGGTAAATGTTAAAAATTTAAATGTAAACTTACTGTTTTTTAAAATTACCAAGAATAATGAAGTTATAACGATTTTTGATTTTGACAGGTTTTCAGTTTTTTTTCAAATTATTTGAGAACCCCTGATTTTTTTTGCCAAACTTGTAATTTCACAACTTTTGTCTAATTTAAAAAAGATGTCCATACATAAAAGGATAGGTACTTGGTGCCCCCTTTATAATAGCTAGTGTGTCAATGATTAAAAAAGTTATTTTTTTTTCTGGAAACTCGAAAACTGGACATTTAGGGAATTTAATTTTTGACGGCACATTACACAGCTTAAGTATCGCGAAAAATATAATATTTATCTGATTTGCTGATATTTTTCTTGACTATTATTTGAGGTCATTTATATTATCTATGATGTTTGCTATAATGTTAAAGTAACTTAAAAATATCAAAAACACATTATATATTTTTTTAATTTTAAAACAAGGGTACAAAAACAATTGTGCAAATTACTTAATAAAATATTACAAAATTTAGATTGTTAAAACAATTAGAATGTCAAAGACAATTTCGAAAATATGTTAATATTTTAAGATTGAAAAAAAATTGTAAAACTTATTTAAGAAATATATCAGAGAACATGTTTGCAGGGCCGCCTCTGGTGGAGCAATAGAACAACTTTTTTCTACTCCTATTATGGAATATGACCGTTTTAATATCACTTTTTAATGTGGAGTGACATATATTCCTTAGTGTTACAGAATGAAATATTTTACCATAGGATGACTGAATGAACACTGATGGCAACATCTCTGTTTTTAATATCTAACAAATTTTAGACCAATCCACTTTTTCTCAATTAAATTATTTTTCTATGGTATTTTTTGGAAATATAGAAAAAGTATAGTCTGAAACACGTTTGGAATTGCATATTGCGGTCTCGTGAAACTGTCTAACAAGGAATATATTATATATATATATATATATATATATATATATATATATATATATATATATATTATATATGTAATTCCACATAAAAAAGTGAAAAACCAAATGATCCAAATCATGGAATATTCAGCAATGTTTTTTTATTTTATTTATTAAATCCAAAAAACAAATGTTTGTAACAGGTACAACATAAATATAAATATATAGTCAAATTAAAGTCTTAAATTAAATAAATCCGTTTTTACAGCCTTCGAAAAAGTTTGTAAATTTCATCAGGAAGTTCATTGAAGAGTTTTAAAGCATTATAAGTTATGCGTTTTCTTCCAATGTTGGTAACATTTAATAACAGATGGAAATGTTGGTTTGTCCTCGTGTTATACTCATGAATATCACAGTTTTGTTGTACTAACAATATCATATTTGATTTTATAAATTAATTTAATACTGTCCAACTTTACAAGTTCATTTATTTTTAATAACTTTATTTCGTTATACAATTCCCTGGTGTTTGTTTATTCAGATCTTGTTTTCAAGCTTGTCCCCAGAATGCACTCAGATAATTTCGTATGGAGTTGATATGAGCACAGTATATCTTAAATTTATAAATTTAAGACACTATAGTGTCTTTGTTAAACATAAACGAAGTGTGCCACAGTGTATACATATTTCGTCACAAATGTTTGTGCATTGAATGCTTAGAATGTTAAGTCTTATTTAAAAATGATAAATATATTTTTAAAAGTTAAAAACACATTTTAGGATGTTAAAAAAATATTTAAGAATAACAAATAATGTAAAAATTTATTTAAGAATTTCAAAAAGAGTGTTTAAACTATATTTAATATTTTCAAACTTACTTAGGAATGTACTAAAATGTTTATTTTTCGATTAAAAATTGTTTTTATAGGAAGCTAGGGTGGCCAAAGCCGAGCTAGAAAAGAACCAGAAACACCTGGTAAACCTAAAATCAGCGGGAGAACAAAAACAAACCATAATCCACAGAATGCAGAAAAAACTGTTGTTGGTCAGCAGAGAAAGGGACAGCTACAGGTTGCAGCTGGATTCCTACGAAAGAGATTTGACCATGAATGCCACCACCACGAGTTTGGGTAGCGCAGCTGCCAGCCAGCTGCAGAGTCAGAAGGACAGAATCGAGAAGCTGGAGAGACATCTGGAGGGTTACAGGGAACTAAATTCGAAGTTGGAGAGTGACTTGGAGGCGGCTCAAGGATTGTCTCATTCAGGTAAACTGTTTTTTAATTATTATTATTATTATTATAATATCCTAAAAAACACGCTCTAGTCCGCAAAAGTGATACTTTTAAGCAATAAGGCTTAATTTATGGTAAATTTAAAGTAAAATCTGGTAAAAAACGTTGTAACAAAAAATCTCGAATGCATCAGATCGGTTAACCAGATAATCGGACTGGTTAACCGGTTAACCGGATATCCGAACCGGTTATAATAATTTAAAAAATCCGGTTAAAACTGAAACCGGTCAAAACTTGTCGAACCGGTTAACTGTTTATTACTTCAGGAATTGACAGCCTTACTGGCAGGGTTGCCACTTCAGTTTTATTAATTGTATTAAAAATATGGAAAAATAAGTAGTAGATAGTAGTAGATTTTTTTAACAATAGTTTTATTAGATTTTTGGATTTAGTACAGTTAATTTTTTTTATCTGGACTCGTGTTTTTTTGTTAGGTTGGTGGCTTATGCCAGTTTGACTTAGTATTTTTGGTATTTAAAAATGGTACTTCTGCCAAAGAATTTAATTAAATACTTTGACACTGTCAAATTGACAATAATATTTATTATTGATAATTTACTTGTCAATTATAAATAAAAAGATAATTATGCCAAACATAATAACAACGAAATCGAATGTAAAAGCCCTTTTGAGGGCAAAACTTAATTTTGATGAAAAGTACATCGCCTTATGGACATTTTTGGAGTAAAAAAGTAACGAATTTGATTTTATAAATATTACATCACACATTATTTTCACATTATTCACCATTGGACAACATTTACGTTCACAAAAAATTTTAATTTCTTTTATATAAATTCTTTTCAAAGCGAAGATTATTATCCGCTAGGAATACTTTCTCTTTTGGGCCGTAAAGCAACCTATATTTAACTACTTTTTTATATGATTTTACTCATCCAAGCACCACCAAAGCCAAATTAATTGCAACTACCACGGTCTTATATACAGGTCTTGCAACTTCGCCCAATTTCAATAGGAAAAGTGACCTCTCTAATGAGACACCCACCAGATGGCGCATCGAGTTGTGGGTGAACCCTTAGAAGAAGGGTGAACCATAGATGTTTAAAGGTCGTTTTTACCTTCTTTATCTTTGGGTTTTACAATCGTTAGATAAGCTCTCTGGTGGATAATTTTCTTAGATAGAAGGTTTCTATGAAAGTTATCCGCCAAATAAGCTAACTTAATCTAACGATTGTAAAACCGGCTCTAAGTCCTTAAAGTCTATGGGATATAGGTCAAATGAACTACCTACTTATGTTCTGTGAAGAAACATAACCTACATTTTTATAAACAAGCTTGTGTATTTTGTTACAGGGAGTTTTTACTTATTGTTATTGTGATATTCGTTATTGTTATATTATATTGTTCTATTTTTTCTTGTTATATTTGTTCTTGTTATATTTGTTCTTGTTATATTATTTGTGCTTTTTAATAGACATGAAGTCCTGTGTTGTGCCAAAATGTAACCAGCAAAGCTATCGTTCCGGCATTAAAATTAAGCGGTCCATGTTTAAAGTGCCAACAAATAAGGAGCGGTTAAAAAAATGGCAATGTGCAATAAAAAACATATTATTGACACTTTCACATTTTGTATGATTATTATATAATTAAGCACATCGTGTTGGTGAAATATATATTATTTTAAATAAATATTCAACCCATCCCCGCCAAGACAATAAAACAATCGGTTATTAATAAATTAGCCAGAATATTGGTTGGTTAGTTTGTAAACTATCTAAAGCTTGGCTATGTTGTGTTACTAAAAATTTTGGTTTTCATATTAGCCAAATTGAATTGGATAGTTTACAAATTATCCAGCTATTCCTAAATAATTTCAAGTAAATTAGCCAACACCCTTGGTTGGTTTACAAACTAGCCGCTAATTTAGTTAAAAATACGTTTTCAATTAAAATAGCTGACAGTTTGGCTAGTTTATAAACTACCCAGCTACTTTATAAACTATCCATGTTTACACATTAGCCGTAACATATATATGATATACGTATGTATTTTATACATTAACATGTTTTACTTACATGTTTGGTCTGGGCATGTGACGGCCGAGGACTTTGTGCATAGAGTATAGACTTTGTTGTCCTATTTTGTTAACGTAAATTATCCGAAACAAACTCACAAATATTAAATTTTTGAAAATGTAAACAAAACATAGAAAAAGAATTTAAAAAGTTAGGTTATGGTTAGGTTATGGTTATGCACATTTAACTAAGTAGTAGTTTAATTGACTTTACCCCTTCGATCTTAGCGCCACCTAGCGGCTTGGCACGTTAAGGAAGCCACCTCAAAGCTTAAAATTGCAAGACCTGTATATAAGACCGTGGCAACTACGAATTTCGACAACTCAATTTGACAACTGCACAATGTAACCTACAATAATTTATACATAACCAGATTTATAACCAAATTTATAACTAGCTTAGTTTGTGTTAATCAACTTGACAACTGTATTTACCAACCAAAACCCTAAATTTGCAACGTTGCCGCAGTCCAGATAAAAAAAAATGAACTTTATAAAAAAGTAACGATTATAAATAAAACTTTATTTAAGTAACAAATAATAAATATAATTAAAGGTTTGTTCCAACGCACATGAAAACAGCACATGGAACGATGTCACATTTCATTATTGCAAACTAACGCAATGAACTGTGATACTCGAAATTATCGTTTTAAGTACGGTTTTCATGTGCGGTTGGAACAGTCCTAGTAATGTTACATTTTTTTAAATAATTTTGGATATATACTCTATGCAAATTGCAAACTTCCTAATTCTACTATAGTCTATCATCTTTTTGAGAAACCAAAAGAAGTATTTGAAAAAAAAACAAACAAAAAGTGCTACCAATTAGTAGATATATGAACAAAACCTGATTGGCAGCACTGCGGTTTTAGTTATATGTTGCGACGGTGCCGGATTTCTTTTGTACCAAACGGATTTTCTGTCAGAGCATAGACGTGTTTGGGTCAGAACCTCTGTTAAATTTGAGTATGTTGCCATATTTCCGCATCAAGTGTCAACTTTACAAAATTTACAAAATATAAAAAAATAGTAGATTTTAATGAATCAGTAGTAGGATAGTAGAATACAAACAAAACTAGTAGAAATACTACTTAAGTAGTAGCAATGGCAACCCTGCTTACTGGTAACCCTGGTTATATACCTTGATTAAAAAGGTATAGCTGCAATTTGAAATAATTTAAAATTACATATGTATAAGCCAGTTCTGAGATGATATAACCTATAGATAAGGCAAGTTTTGGAACGATAGTCAATTTGTAAATGAATTTTAAATGCAATAGTATAGAGGGCTACATGCAAAATGTCCAGACACCACTAACTCATTTTTATTAAAAAATGGATAAGCTGAGTTTTGGGTTGGACCTCCTCATTTCTAATATTTGTTTAACATATTACCAAAGTTGTCCTTTTTTAAGTATAGGGACAAACAAAATATTATTATTATTATTATTATCCAACTCTAAAACGCCTTTACCAATCTTTATAAAATTTTGTATAAAAATACTTCAACTTATATCTCAGTTTACGTGTTCAAGGGTTTTTCGAGAAAATATCCTTAAAGCCCTTTTATTTAATAATAAAAAATGCTCGAAAAATAGTAGATTATGTCATAAGGAGTAGAAGTGACTCTTTTTGTGGTCAGTACAGATATTGACGGCCGAAGCGTAGCTGAGGCAGGCAACTGTACGAAGCACAAAAAGAGCTTCCACTCCAAATAACATATACAATTTTTTTTTCAAGGGCGTAATATAAATAGGATAAGCAATTGAATTATTTTATTTACTCATAACTCATGTGGTATAAAATTTTAGTTAAAAGCATTAGAAATTATTGATAAAAACTAAAAAACGTATAACCCTTACTTACAATGCCGATAAATATCCTAAACTAAAAATAAACACTGCTCTGTCAAAATGCTGCGCTTGAATTAATTTTTACGTACTGACATTTGTTTGGAGTACCAACATTGGCGACTCGTCTATCATCATAATATTATACTAATAAACTAGTTGTTCTTTATTTCTTCAATTAAAATTTAATAAATAATCACTAAATATTCCGTGCGATTATAATTAATATAATTAATACATCGTGATTGCTTTGTATGAAATGCTAAATTAATTTTATTATTTGACGTCTATTGAGACCTATGGATTTACTTCTATCCCTAGGCTTTTTTTGAGTTTTTTGTCTGCCGCTAATGAAAAAGACGCACTTCAACTACCGTAAACACGGGTGGCTTTGGCTCACTTTCAAACTTCAGCTTAAAATTTTTGTGGTTTTAACAATCATAAACATTAAATTTTGTATACCAAAATTTGAGTCTTGAGTTGCTCTTTCATAATAACTATGTTATAATATTACATAGGGCTGAGTTTCAAAAATAAACATTAAAAACTGGGTGTGCAAAGTTACCCCCTGGTTGCGGGTTACTTTGTCTCACAGTGTTTTTTCAGTATAAAATGAATGTAATATTATATTTTATTTTTATTAGACACGTGTTAGCAGCGACATATATCTATTGCAAGGGATTACCAATAAAAAAAATAAAAAATCGACCTGTAGTTAACCAAGGATCATCATTCCAATGGATTGCGCATAATATATATATATATATATAAGAGTTTTGCACTGATACGATATATACAATTTTAAAGTGTAATAAATCCCATTTCTTTCTTTAAAACACTGATTTTCCTGTAATATAAACTCAATAGAATCGCTCAATTGACAGGTTTAGACCAACAAATTATAAATGTTAATTTTATCGAGCGCGAAAAGATTTTTCATAAATGGGTTAAAGTCACCCGCGGGGTGCAAAGTCACCCGTATTTACGGTATCTCTATACAGGCATGTAAGGTTGTATATCATGGCAGCTTTAAAAAGAAACTTTTATAGGGAAATTTATTTTTAAGTAAATAAAAAATATGTTGTGAGTATACCCTGAAAATTTTGTACAAATCAAACGAACAGTAACGAAAATACAGCGCTTCAAATTCGTCAAAAATGACCACTTTTCAGCAAAATAATAAAAAAGGGGTCATTTTTACCGACTTTGAAGCGCTGTATTTTCGTTACTGTTCGTTTGATTTGTACAAAATTTTCAGGGTATACTAACGAAAATACTTAATTATTAAATAAAAGAGCTTTAAAAATATTTTCTCGAAAAATCCTCGAACATGTAAGCTGAGATATAAGTTGAAGTATTTTATACAAAATTTCATAAAGATTGGTAAAGGCGTTTTAGAGTTAGATTTTTTTTACTTATTATGCGGGCAGTGTATGAAGAATTCGCTGAAACCATATTTTGACATAAATGTCCCTTTCTTAGAAATGATCCCAGTCAAATACGACCAAATCTCGAAACTTGAAGAAGAAATCAGCCAACTGAAAATGGAAAACGAACGCATGCGCGAAAAAAAAGACAGCCTCGAAATCCAACTGGAGTCCTATCTGGAAGGCAACGACACGTTGGCCGGCGGGCAGGTGTACCACAACGCGAACAACCCGTTCGCGCAGAGCGTCGCGCAAAGAGAAAATCTGGTGGAAAAGTTGGAGCAAGAAGTGGAGAGACTCAAGAGGAAGTGCAAAAATCTGGAAGAAGGTCTGGAGGCCAGCAAGCTGGGAGATTTGTCCGTGTGTCCCCAGGAAGTGTTCGCTCTCAAAGAACAGATAAAATCGCACGAATCTCAGATGCAAAAGCTGAAGGACTACTTCAAAACGTCCATGCAAGAGTTCAGAGATGTCATTTATATTCTGCTGGGCTACAAAATCGACCGAAATGGAAGTTCTTTGTACAAACTAAGAAGCGCGTACGCTGAACGCGAAGAGCACATGATTTGCTTCGAAATAAATAACAAAAATGGCGACCTAAACCTGCTGGAAAACGAATACAGCGCCACCTTGGAGGATATGATCAACCTGCATTTGAGGCACCAAAAATCTTTCCCCGTATTTTTAAGCGCTTTAACCATGAATTTGTTCAATGAAAAGACCAGGACGTTCCAGGGTTAGGATTTTATTTTTATTGGTACGTTCCAAGTTTAATTAAAAAAATATAGTTTTAGTTCTACGTTTTTATATAATGAATTGTATCAATTTATCTAAATTGATTATACTATTTATTTAGATTGTTTGACGGTCAATAAATTTTAAATGAAATAAGTCACTTTATTTTTTTTATTTTCATTTTCAGATGTTTTGTTTAAAAATATATTTTATTTGGAACTGTGTTAAAATGTGGCACAAAAATGTCTATTAAAATAGCATTTGAAATTTGAATAAAACTGAAACCCTGTAAAAACAAAAAAAAATCTTCTTTTGGAAAAAAGTTCACATCTAAAACTTCTTTGTTTCAAAATTTACAGGAATAAAAAAGTTATAAGGTTTTTTGGTTCTTACAAAACAGCCATAGTCCAAATTTTTATTTACGAACACAGTATGTCCACAGATAGGGTTACAAAGAGGAAATTTTTTTTTTTAATTCTCAGAAAATTTCATTCTTGATTTTGCTTGATTTCAAAAACTCAGAATATGCGACACATCATTTTTATCATTATCATTTTCTATGGTTAAAATTGCATTTTTCTATAAAAATCATTTATCCGAAATCGGCAGTAAAGTAAAAGAAATCGGCAGTAAAGTAGATCTTTACAGCCGATTTTATACGAGTATTGTATGCAACCCATTATACACTTTAAGATGTGTCTACTGCTCCTCGAGGTCAGCAGCAACTAAATAATGTTTAAAAAAAAGCACCGTCGCGGTGTGTCGATTGGACCCTTTCATAAAATGTTTTTTAATAAAAATAATAAGTTAATTTTATTAATTAGATTAAAAAATCGCCGCGGCGATTATTAATCAGTAATCGTTAATTTAACAAGATTATTTCTTTCGTTGACTATACTTTGACAGATACATAACCTGAAAAGCCTTAAATGCCAAATTTTCAAAAGACTGCGTTCGGTACGTGGTCACGTGGTGGGACTTTGAGGTGTGGAGCATAGTACATATATGACATTGAAAACGATATTTTTATGACAAATCATACACGGTGCTGTTCTGACAAGTGATTTCTAAACTTTATGTGAAACTTTTTTTGTGATATTCTATTTATTTAACAAAGAATTTAAGAGAAAAATGAAAAAATACACGGTTTGTTTTTTTTTAATTGGATTTTTAATAAAAATAGTATGCACTCTTTGAACTATCCACTTTAAACTTTTGAATTCATTTATATATGGGCAAAACAGTTAAATCAGTTAGATTATTTAACTTTCTTAAAAAAATGGTTTTTACTACTTTTTTACTATATTAATGACCGATTTTTTACAATATGCGATTACGTTTTAATTTAATTCTTAATAGTATACATATAAATTTATACTTTTAAGAATTAAATTAAAAGGTAATCGCATATTGTAAAAATAAACAATTGTTTCCTCTATTAAATTTGTATCTAACATTTGAAAAATTATTATTTTAATTAGTGGGGTGAAACAAATGGTTATAAAAGAAAATTAAGTATTTACCAAAACTTGTAATTTTTAACTCACTACATATAAAATGTTTTAATATAACAAATATATGGGTTTAAAACTTTGAAAGCCTTTGCATGGTCTTTTAATGGCAATGAAAGTCTTAAATTATTAAAAAATATTGACTTCCTGAGAAGCAAACAATACATTTAAAATCTTATGTTTTTGTTGAGTAAAAGGCTCGGTAAAAGGTTTGTTTTTAAAAATTATTTTAATTGAAATAAATTAGATACTTTATATAGGTAATTAGGCTATGATAAATACTTGTATAAAACTTAACAAAAATATGTTAGTACTTATTTATAACCAAAATGGCAAATAAATTGTCAAATAAATACATAGATTATAAAGGTGAATAAATACATACAAATTAAAATTTCGTCGCTACCACAATCCACACAACAAGGTCTATTCGATCTCGTACTAAAAATACTAAAAATCACTGCAACACTGCACATCATTTAATGGCGGCCATTTTTGTTGTTTACAATTCTTGTGCTTTGGGTTTGTACAGATTAACAATCGTTTTAAGCGTTGTGTTTTTAATAGAGGCACTTGTAAGCCTCAAATGAGGCCTTAAAGTGGTAAGAACAATAATTTTTCTCCTCTTTTGTAAAAAATAAACCTTATTCTATCAAGGCTGTCATCAAACTGTCAAATGTCAATTTTAAGGTTATTTTATAACCCACAAATTAAACTTCAAATTGATATTTGACAGCCCTTTTTTTTTAAAGCTTGCAAGTCTCTCTGTAAGAAACAGAAACCCAAAGCACAAGAATTGTAAACAACAAAAATGGCCGCCATTAAATGATGTGCAGTGTTGCAGTGATTTTTAGTATTTTTAGTACGTGATCGAACAGACCTTGTGTGGATTGTGGTTGCTACCTTAAATATATTTTTAATAAAGAAAAAAAAGTAGTATACATTTAAGAGTTACATTAAAACTTTAATCGTGTACTGTAAAAAATAGATCAATGTTATAAAAAATCGCTAAAAAGCTTTTTAAGAAAATTAAATTATCTTTAATTTGATTGAAACGTTTAGCCAATTTATAAATAAAATCAAAATTAAAAAAGTTTATACCTACTTAATATTTTTAATCAAAATCAAATTAAAAAAACTAACCCTGAGTTTTTATTTTGTTTTTAAATTCTTTGTTACAACATAAATAAATAGAATATCACAAAAAGTCTGAAGTCACAAGTCTGAAAATAATTAGGTTCAAACATAGGCACTAGTTTTTTCAAAAATAATATGCTGCAATATATGTACAAATTTGACGCAGAAACCGTTCGAAACTAAACTTTGACTTTTCGCATTTTACACTCTATATCAACACATTTTAAATAAAACCATTTCTTAAGTTGATTTTTTATTTTGCTTTTCAGAATTTTTGTTTAAAAATATTAATTAATTTTCTTTGCAAATGTGTTAAAATGTGGCACAAAAATTTTGAAACGTTTAGCAGTTAATATTATATTTAAATTTTTATAAAACAACACACGTAAATGTAATACACTACAATTTTTGCACAGACAACACAGTTTTACTAATATTTTTTCAAGAATAATAAATGCTGCAATAAAATCAACAGAACTATTTTTAATCTTTCAAAATCATACATTTCAGTACACCAGTTGTTCTGTGTTTATTGAGCTCCGCAGCTAGTTATCCGACATACCAATCATCATCTCGCTCTTCTTGATATCCGGATTTTGGAAATCTCCGGCAACCTCATTTTCGTGCGCTGTCTGGACTGCGTTTTGGCTATGCGGGGCCGAGTGCACCAACCGGCCAATCAGCGACGACGGCCGGTCTCTTCTTATGCGCAACCATTCGTGTTGGATCACTCTATCCAGGGTCAAGCGGAGAGTTAGATCGGGCTCCAACAGGTGGCGCACCAACGACTTGGACGCCGAGGAGATCGTATCGCGCACTCTTGATCGGAACACCCAGTTTTTGGTCATTTGGTCTTTAAGTAGCTTGCGCAGGTTTGAGTCGTCGAAAGGCATCGAAGCGTTGAGCATTATAAACAGGATTATTCCTAGAGACCAAACGTCGGAAAGTTTAGGGTTGTACGGGGTTCCGTTGACGACTTCAGGTGCCGCGTATGCGGCGGATCCGCAGTAAGTTTGACTCAGTATTCTTCTATTGTCTGCGTCGACGCAGAATCGTGCGAAACCGAAATCGGCCAGCTTAACGTTGAATCGGCGCGATAGTAGGATGTTTTCGCATTTTAAATCTCTATGAGCAATGTTTTTACTGTGCAGGTAGTGAAGACCGCTTGCCATCTGTCTAAACCATATCTTAGCTTGGTTTTCAGGAACGACGCCATTGCGTTTAATAAAGTCTAGTAAGTCTCCATTGTCTGCATATCTAGAAAAAATTGGTTGGTTTACAATCAATTTTAAATATTTTGTTTAACAGAACCTATTAAAATTATGAGTGTAATTTTTTTACTTGAAATAGTATATTACCATTGAGTAAAGTGTGTGAAGAGACGCAAGGTGGTAGGATGATCTGTGCCAGGCGTATTATTATTAATTTACAAGAAAATGTGTCCGTAAGGTGTCGCCATCTACCCACCAATGTTCCAAGCTTGAAAATATGATAAAATAAGGGGTATTTGTTTGAAATTCCGATCTCCCACGCAAGCTTCTTACCCCTCCTTTCACTAAACTCGTCGCTTAGCAACGAGACGACAACACAATTTTTTATTTGCAGTCATAATATTATTTGTGTCTGGATTTAGTGGAGTTTGTTATTTCATTATTGAGTAAAGTAAGTAACCAAAAGAATTTATTTATTTATTTACAATTCCTAGTGCTGTTCTGAGAGGTAATTTCTATTCTATTTCATTATATAATTATTATTACTAATAATAATTATTAATTAACTATCTACCCACTTTATCTAATTATTATTTATAATAATTAATAATTATAATTATTAATTAATTATCTACCCAATTATTATTTAATTATCATTTAAAAGTAAAATTCTATTTAAAAAAAATATGCCTCTGAAACGTGTGAAATTTATTTATTTTTAATTAAAAATGTATACATTATATAATATATATATATATATTATATGTATGTATACATAGAGGCATATTTTTTTAAAATAGAATTTTACTTTTAAATGATAATTAAATAATAATTGGGTAGATAATTAATTAATAATTATTATTATTAATTATTATAAATATTAATTAGATAAAGTTGGTAGATAGTTAATTAATAATTATTATTAGTAATAATAATAATAATTTTTATCAAAAAAATTACTTTTTAAACCATGCAAGCTGGATTTTTAAATTTCTCTTTCAATAAAGTTTTTATACGAAAACACCCTGGACATACATAATATTATATTTATACATTTATACCACAATTAAAATATCAAATAGGGTACCACTTACATACATATTATGTATGTAAGTGGTACCCTATTTGATATTTTAATTGTGGTATGTATAAATATAATATTATGTATGTCCAGGGTGTTTTCGTATAAAAACTTTATTCAAGGAGAAATTTAAAAATCCAGCTTGCATGGTTTAAAAAGTAATTTTTCTGATAAAAATTAAAAAACAAGAAAGCATTGATAAAATTGATGTATTTAATTGGTATTTGATATTTTTAATATTGATAATTTTTGTTATTTTAATTGCCATTAAAAATAAATCTATGTATGTACAGTGTGTTTTCGTATAAATGGGACACTCCTCTAAAATCTTTATTTGAAAATATTATTATATTGTATCACATATATTAAATTAAAAATATTATATTAAAAAAATAAAAAATTCAGCTGCATGGTCAAAAAAGTGATTTTATGAAAATTTTTTGACAAAAATTAAAAAACAAAAAAGCATTGGTAAAATTGATGTATTTAATTGGTATTTGATATTTTAATTGACATTAAAAATATATTTATGTACAGGGTGTTTTCGTATAAATGGGACACTTCTTTAAAATCTTTATTTGAAAATAAATTAAAAAATTAAAAAATCTAGCTTGCATTGTTTGAAAAAATAATTTTATGAAAAATTTTTGACAAAAATTAAAAAACAAAAAAACATCGGTAAAATTGATGAAATACATATGTAGATATAACATTGATTTTTCCAATGAAACACCCTGTATATTTTTGAACATTTAGATAGAGTTTTTTATTATAATTTCAAATACACATATATATAATTTGTAGGTATATGTTTGAATTAAAAAAAATCTGCAAAAATAACACTTACAATTTCATAAATTACCTATCTTAAAAAAAAACCCTCAGGGACACGTGTTTCTTCTGATCAATTAACTTCAAAATTTTACAAAATTTCTTTTTAATTTAGAATTGATCTAGTGGTAGCCCAATTGAATTGTTTTTCAAAAATATACAGGGTGTTTCATTAAAAAAACAATGCCGATGCTATTTTATTAAATTTACCGATGCTTTTTTGTTTTTGAATTTTTGTCAAAAAAATTACTTTTTTAAACAATGCATCTGGATTTTAAATTTTTTCGATATTCTAATAAAGATTTCATAGGAGTGTCCCATTTATAAGAAAACACCCTTTACATTTAAAAAAAAAGTTTTTTTTAACAAATATTTACATACATATTTTCGTAAAAAAAAACAACAAAAATAAGTTAAATTATCAATATACATTTTTGTTTTAAAATACTTTTAAGAAATAATATACCTACATTATTTATCACAGCATTTATATACATATACATATACTATAGTAGGGTGGTTCTTATTTGGCCGATATCGAAATTTTAATCGTGCCGCCCCCTCATTTGTTTTTAAAAAATATTAAACTTAAATTAATGAACATTTCTAATTTTTTGAGGAAATGAAGGGAAAATATGGTACTTTTAAACAATTATGCATTAAATGAAAATTATCACTGATATTTTGTTTATTATGCCATTTTCAATAAAAATACAATAATAGCATTGAGTACACACTTTACTCAATGATAATAGTAATAATTGAATGAAGTAAAAAAGACCTTACTATGGACATAAATGAATTCTTTTTTTTTGTTTAAAAGTACCATATTATCCTTTCATTTCCTCAAAAAATTAGAATTGTTAATTAATTATTAATGATTTTATAAAATTATTGCGTTTTAAAGCAAAAATCCCCTATATGAATTACTGTAAGTAATAATCGAGCAAAGTAAAAAAGACCTTAGGAAGAAAATACATGATTTCTTTTATTTATTATTTTAAAGAAGTTGGAAAATGACCTCTTAGAACCGTGCATTATTTATTTATATACAAAATTTCCATGTATATTTTGATTAATTTATTGTTTTTAGATGGAATCTTTGAAAAAATTAATAGTAAGTGTTGTAATATTTAATATACTTAATTATTTTTATTTATTATATTTACCCAGGTAGCAAAGGATGTTAAGTGACAAGTAATTAACATCAATATTTGGTGAATTTTTATAAAAATATTAACATCATTAATTCTTGTGAATTTAACATGAATATCATGTCATCCCTTTTTAAAAACGTGATTTTCATGTTTTATTTTTAACATTTAAATATCATCACGAATTTCACAAAAAAATAACATCCACATTTGGTAAATTTTTGACAAAATATTAACATCATTAATTCTTGTGAAATTAACATGAATAACATGTCATCCTTTTTTTAAACGTGATTTTCATGTTTTATTTTTGACATTTATATAACATCATGTATTTAATAAAAAATCAACATCCATATTTAGTGAATGTTTGACTAAATATTAACGTCACTCATCCTTGTGAAATAAACATGAATTTCATGTCACGTTTTTCATTATTGCGTTTTTATAAAGTAAATTTTGTTTTGTTTTTATACCCCGTTGCTTTTAAAAATAAAATTATATATTTTTTCTATGTAAAGGTTTGTTTTTACTTATTTTTTTGTAAAGTACTATAATTTCTTTGAAAGTACGATAATTTTATGGGGTTGGTACGATAAATCATGAAAACTGCAGTTTTCAAAACTTGGCAGCACTGACTATAGGACGCTAACCTGTTCTTTGTATTTTGTTATCTATGGTATTTTATGTGGGAAAATTAACAAAACGTGCCGTTTCCTTTGTTAAATATTAAACCACATACTTGTGATTTACCTTTATAATCTGTGATTTACACCTGTGTATTTTGACTTTTTGTGCTGCAGCATCATGTCCAAAACAGTAAGTATTCAATTATTTTCTACAATGCCGGGTTTATACAACTGCATAATCATTAATCATGTTCTTGTAACCTAACTTTATTTTATTTTTTGTATTCTTTCCAACTACATATACTATGTATATACCTTAGAACAAGGTATATACTATACTGCCGTGCTTAATGAAAACGCCGTAACCAACAATTTTGCGATTTTTGTTTTACGGCATTTTCTACTAGAACAATTCATCCTGTGTCTATCCCCGGTACTCAAAAAACCGTATATATATAGATACGGTTTTTTGAGTACCGGGGATAAACGCAGGATGAATTGTTCTAGTGGAAAATGCTGTAAAACAAAAATCGCAAAATTGTTGGTTACGGCGTTTTCATTAAGCACGGCAGTATACGAAAAACTAAAAACAAATAGTATTTTACCCCTTATCTCAGTACTTTTCTTTTAAAGTATTTTAATTAAAATCTTAAGATTCTTAAGAAAAGTGATTGAATTAATTTTGTATCATGTACCTAAATGCAATAGAAAAATTATTATCTTGTTATTTTATTTCTTTTGTTTTAGAATCAGCATTAGTTAGCAATCGTTCAACTGCAAAAGAAGTTGAAACGGTTATAATGGATTGGTTCCGGTATGCTAACCAGCGTATGAAAAAAAAATAAAATTGTAGGTATATTTTTTATTTATTTATTTTATTTATAGAAATATCTAATTTTGTTTTTTTTTAGGATCCAGCTGTAAAATCCTTTTAGTTTGTGTTTTTAAAATGTTAACAAATTATTTTATGTTGATTTTAAATGTTATATTTTAAAATAATATAAATTATTTTAACAAATATTATGATTTTCATTATTCATCATAAACACCATGCATGCATGCATGTATTTATGGGACTAACAACTTTATATTGATGTCATTTGTTATGGTTATATATCCTGAAACTCTTAAATTCCATTTTTTATTATTAGTGTTTACTGATTGTGGTTAGTAATTATTAATATACTTTAGAACTTTTTATTGAGAAGTTTTTTTGTGGTTAGCTTTTATTCACAAACAATCTTGTTAATGAAGAGTTACAAAGTATATTAATAATTACTAACCACAATAAATGATGTCGTTGCGGGAAAGAGTTCTGGGGTATAATAATGACATCAATATGATGTTAATG